TTTTGAATTGTACGCCTGGTGAATAATGTGTAGCTACAGGGCTGTTTCAAAGCAGAGCTGCCTGTCACTCCTTTGTTCTTACACATCACACACTCACACTCACTCACGGTCTCCTGGGGTCCAGCAGGGCTCCTCAGTAGAGCGTCAGCGGGGGGAGAGAGGGGTGAGGGGTCACTCCACAGCCCTCTCCCTACCCTTCTCTCTAGGCTTTCATCTCCTCCATTTCTTCTCATAACATAATCTAGGCTTATTTCATCAAAAGTCCACATGCCTCTTATTTCTTCCTTGTCATATGCCCCTCCCCCTTGTTTTTATGTAGAATGGCTCCCAGTGTTCTATGACCCCTTCCTTTGGGATCTTGTTTTTGACCTTGTTTTGCAGCAGTTCTGCAGTCCCCTGTTCTCACAGGCTTTTTCTCTACACTTGAGTCTTACCCCAGTCTGTGCTGGGAGGACCTCTAGCCTGCCAGCCAGCCGATGTAAAATGGCTGAACTCTCCCTTGATTGTGCCCTGGCCCAAAGTGTGTTGTGACTGCAATGGAATTGGGAAGTGAGGCAGAAATGCTCAGGCTTGGGCAGAGCATACATCCATCCCTCAGATAGGTAGCTGTGTCCTCTCATCCTCCTCGCCTCTCCTCCAGACGGGATGGGAGGAGCAGTGTGGGTACACACTGTACGGCACTCACACGCCCTCAGGACCTCCTCAACTCAACACTGGCTATACCCCACTGATCCCAGCTGTTTTACAGCACACTCTCTCTCTCTCTGTCTGTCTGTCTGTCTGTCTGTCTGTCTGTCTGTCTCTCTCTCTTCCCCCCTCTCTCTCTCTCTCTCTGACCCAGCTAAGATAAGTTAAAGGGCATCTCAGTCCATCTCAGTCTTTATGTTCTGGCTCAGTTCAGAAAGTTGAGCATGGCTGTTGTTGTTTTCCTTTGTTCAAGTCATTATGTTGTTTTTATGCATAATGAGGACTGCAAGATGCCTCTCTCATGAGGATAGGATTAACTTCAATGAAGGGGACATATTTCCTATGCCAGCACCTTGGGACTAGTTCAGTTCATAAAGTGCATTATGAAGCATTTCCAACGACTGAGCATGATTAACATTGAAATTCATTATATTTTTTAATATACAGATATTTTTAATGTAAAGCTGTGCATCGTTGACTGGCTTGCTGGCTCTGAAGAACATTTTCACAGCCTTTTACCGAACACAATCACAGTCTCTCCCCGCATTCTTGCTCTCCTTGCAGGTGAATAGAGCAGGGATATCGACAGCCTACAGCCTTGGGCATCTTTTTCTTATTACTGAGAAAATAATTAAATGGCTCTCCATCTAAAGGTTTCAGCTTGCATCAAAGGGTCAATATGATAGGCTAGCTAACATTTCTATTATAACCCTACTGGTGGATGGTGTGATGTATCCTTGGCTGTGACATTTACAGTGCATTCGGAAAGTATTCAGACCCCTTCCCTTTTTCAACATTTTGTTACGTTACAGCCTTATTCTAAAATGGATAAATAAAACATTTTCCTCATCAATCTACACACAATGCCCCATAATGACAAAGTGTAAACAGGTTGTTAGACATTTTTGCAAATGTATTAAAAAACAGAAATACCTTACTTACATAAGTATTCAGACCCTTTGCTATGAGACTCGAAATTGAGCTCAGGTGCATCCTGTTTCCATTGATCATCCTTGAGATGTTTCTACAACTTCATTGGACGCCACCTGTGGTAAATTCAATTGATTGGACATGATTTGGAAAGGCACACACCTGTATATATAAGGTCCCACAGTTGACAGTGCATGTCAGAGCAAAAACCAAGCCATGTGATCGAATAATTGTCCATAGACCTCCGAGACAGGATTGTGTCAAGGCACAGATCTGGGGAAGGGTACCAAAACATTTCTGCAGCGTTGAAGGTCCCCAAGAACACAGTGGCCTCCATCATTCTGAAATGGAAGAAGTTTGTAACCACCAAGACTCTTCCTAGAGCTGGCCGCCCGGCCAAACTGAGCAATCGGGGGAGAAGGGCTTTGGTCAGGGAGGTGACCAAGAACCTGATGATCACTGAAAGAGCTCCAGAGTTCCTCTGTGGAGATGAGAGAACCTTCCAGAAGGACAACCATCTCTGCAGCACTCCACCAATCAGGCCTTTATGGTAGAGTGGCCAGATGGAAGCCACTCCTCAGTAAAAGGCACATGAGAGCCCGCTTGGAGTTGGCCAAAAGGCACCTAAAGGACTCTCAGAGCATGAGAAACAAGATTCTCTGGTCTGATGAAACCTGGCACCATCCCTACGGTGAAGCATGGTGGTGGCAGCATCATGCTGTGGGGATGTTTTTCAGCGCAGGGACTGGGAGACTAGTCAGGATTGAGGAAAAGTTAAACGGAGCAAAGTACAGAGAGATCCTTGATGAAAACCTGCTCCAGAGTGCTCAGGACCTCAGACTGGGGCGAAGGTTCACCTTCCAACAGGACAACGACCCTAAGCACACAGCCAAGACAACGCAGGAGTGGCTTCGGGACAAGTCTCTAAATGTCCTTGAGTGGCCCAGCCAGAGCCTGGACTTGAACCCGATCTAACATCTCTGGAGAGACCTGAAAATAGCTGTGCAGCGACGCTCCCCATCCAACCTGACAGAGCTTGAGAGGATCTGCAGAGAAGAATGGAGAAACTCCCCAAATACAGGCGTGCCAAGCTTGTAGTGTCATACCCAAGAAGACTCGAGGCTGTAATAGCTGCCAAAGGTGCTTCAACAAAGTACTGAGTAAAGGGTGTGAATACTTATGTAAATGTGATATTTCATTATTTATTTATTTTAAATTGAAAAACGTGTTTTTGCTTTGTCATAATGGGGTATTGTGCGTAGATTGATGAGGGGGAAAAAACGAGAAGCACATTCTCTCTCTTTGTCTCCGTCTTTCTCAGTCCCAGGAGGCAAGGCCTGTCACTGACACTATGACTCTCTGCTCTCAGGATCACTGTCAAATATTGCCAGCTGTTATAGACTGATGGGATGTGGTTACTATAAAGCATTAGAACTACAGCCTGTTGATCCTGTGCTGTAGACCTGTGGCTTGGGACAGAGCCCTGCGGCGCTGGTCCTCTTGGCTGCCATTGGGGAGGGGGTGGGGGGAAAGGGGGATTCTCCCGGGCAACTGACAGGGGTGTTGGGTTACTCTGTGTGGCGGATGACTGAGAGATTAAAACAACATAACACAGGATGAGAGGAGAGGAGAGGAGAGGAGAGGAGAGGAGAGGAGAGGAGAGGAGAGGAGAGGCTACTGAACAGTCCTGACCCAGCCTGTTTCAACCAGAATCCTGAACCAAATGAAAGGTGTCCTTATTTAGAGCTGAGTTTCTGTGCTTGTCCCCAACATTTAATGATTTATACGCTGTGAATTACTGCCTTTGGAAAACAAGCACTTGTGTACCATCAGAGGAACGAGAGAGGCAGGGGCATGTTGGTGACCTTTCTGGGCTGAATAGTACACTGTCCATTGTTGAGGTGCCCCCGCACATTGACTCTGTACAGGTACCCCCTGTATATAGCTTCCCTATTGTTATTTTATTTTATTGCTGCTCTTTCATTCTTAGTTATTTTTATTTTTTACTTATCAATTTTTTTACTTAACACTTATTTTCTTAAACAAGCATTGTTGGTTAAGGGCTTGTAAGTAAGCATTTCACCTGTTGTATTCGGCGCATGTCGCAAATACAATTTTATTTTATTTTATTTGAGTATGGGCCGCCTCCCAGAAGGTCCTACTAGGTTCACTCACGCGCGGGTAGTCTTTGCCTATGGATCTTCTCTTGATCACACAGGGTGGGTCAACTCCCACCGCGCGTCTTATGCCTAGATTATTCCGCGGTATGAGCCTCTTTCCCGGTGAGGGGGCCTCCCTGTCTTCCTACCCTAGGCTGAGTTAGCAGAGGAGCCCTGGGCTCCAATTTATCAACCCGGGTCACCCCTCTTGGTCTATATCTGCCTGCCAGAGGTTAGCTTACTCCTTCCTACTGTTAATACTTCATGGGTAGTTTCTGACATGGTGTAGTACATGTCACCTGGGCTATTTTTGTCTACAACACTAACAAGCAATCCAATATTTATTTATAGTTTGCTCTGCTCTATTTTAGCGTATCCCCAGCTCTTACTGCGTGTTATCTCGCCTTTCACGCAGGATACGTTCAACCACTTTGTTATACTATTTTTATAAGCGCAGCGTAATCTCAGACACTCCTGCTAGCGGCTGGTCCGCCCTTTTTAGTTGACCGGACAACAACCTCACGGGTGAGTCACACTTGCTCATTCCAGGGTATAGGGTTTCAGCTAAGACGAATATCATGAAATTAATTCTTAGCTGAAGCAGGGGTTCAGCACTTCGTCTGAGTAAGGACGAACTATAGAAACTCAGTGCTCCTTTTATGTGCTTTTTACAGTTACCCTGGAGCTCCCCTGTGGTTTCCTGCATAAGCCCACAATATGGTCTGGCCGCGGGACACCGAAGGGGAACCCCATGAGCCTATAGTTATTATAATGCTACTTTTCTTCTTCAGCACTTTATTCAACAAATAATTTAACTAGTTAAAGAAAACCAGTAACACTTCTCTTTTGGGTCCACAGTTTCACAACTAATGGAGAAAAAAAATTATAGCAATTACAATGCAGTAGCTTCTAACAATAGTAATAAAGTTCTGTTCATACCTTACCCCACAAAGTCTTCTAACTTCTAATACATCAATCAGCTCCTGATCTGTCTTCCCCAGAAGTTCTGATACGCTCCTTTCCCTGTCTTTTACATTGGGTTTTATACCCCTTAATTGCCCAAGCCCATGCCTCCATTGACTACAGTCACACAAGACATCCTTCCCCTTACACGTGACATTTAAGTTACATAACACATTGTGTAGACATCACGTGTAAAGGAGATAGTCAGGTAAAACATTGGTTCCTTCGTAGGTGACGACAATCCGTGGTGTCATCTGCTTCATGGCCCACGTGCCATCAGGCAACTCTACCAACTCCATCCCAGGTCCGAGATCTGACGGGGGTGTCGCCATATAAGATGAACCTTCACCCTCCGGCAGAGGATCATCTGCATACAGTCTACCTTCACCCTCCATCAGAGGATCATCTGCATACAGTCTACCTTCACCCTCCATCAGAGGATCATCTGCATACAGTCTACCTTCACCCTCCATCAGAGGATCAACTGCATACAGTCTACCTTCACCCTCCGGCAGAGGATCAACTGCGTACAGTCTACCTTCGCCCTCTGGCAGAGGATCAACTGCGTACAGTCTAACTTCACCCTCCGGCAGAGGATCAACTGCGTACAGTCTACCTTCGCCCTCTGGCAGAGGATCAACTGCGTACAGTCTACCTTCGCCCTCTGGCAGAGGATCAACTGCGTACAGTCTACCCACACCCGTCATTTCCTCTCAGCCTTTGACTGGGTTTTGCTGCTCTCCAGCTGCCTGTGGTTGAGGCCGCTTGCTGTTCTTATTCCGCTTCTTCATCTTCCTTGTCTCAGTGTTACCATAGCTCTGTCTGGAGACTGGAGGAGTCACCAGGTCATACTGACTAGGCTCATTCACGACACCATCAAGCCCTTTTTAACCCGTTTGCCTCTCTTGGTTTGATATACCCTGGTCTGAATGAGAAAGAGCATTGTTTAAGACAGTGCATTGATCATCATTTGCTCACACACACATAATATGCACATGCATTTATACTGACTCTACACACACCGACTCACATACAATCATCATTAATGCTGCTGCTACTCTGTTTATCATATATTCTAATGCTTAGTCACCTTACCCCTATACATAGCTACCTCTATCAATCCAGTATCCCTGCACATTGTAAATATGGTACTGGAACTTCTTATTTGTTATTTTATTTATCTTGTTCTACCTTGTTATTTTCAGTATTACATTGTTATTGATTACTGCATTGTTGAGGTTAGAGCTTGCAAGAAAGGCATTTCACTGTACTTGTGCATGTGACATTAAACCTTGAAACTGATTGTTGTCGAAGGAGAATCAGCCTGAAGGATGTGGATGAGTCCAACAGATACCTGTATGCTTCCAAGTTATGCTCACATTCCTCTCGGTCTACAATTACCATATTCATGAATTGTTGCACAAAAAGCTGGTTTCCATAATGGTTTGTGTCCATGAATTTTTTCTCATTCATAGGTAAGCTATATAAAACCTTGCAGAGAGCCTATCCAACTGACAATCTCTTGAAAAATATACAAGCTATTGGAACCAAGACTTAAAAAGAACTGATATTGGCACAAGATGGAGGGAATGTTGGAACATAACTAACGAAATTACAGTTAGCGAAAATTAAGACAAAATTAACAAATTCTACAGCACAACGGCAGCGTCATGTCTTAAGTGTAAAACTAACAATGACTCAATAATCCATGCCTTCTGGCAATGTTATAAAGTCCAAAAGATATGGGCGAAGTTAGAAAGTTGGCTGTCAGAAGTAGTATTACAATGTAAATGTACTTTTAACCCGTCTGTCTGCATATTTCAAGACATGGCATATGAGGGTGCAGTGAGATACCCAATGGATTGGATGATACTTTTGAAAAAACGTATACTTAAAAACAGAAAATCAACCAATCCTCCGTCGTTAACACAATGGAAAGGTCAAATGCTTTATTATCTAAACGTTGAAAATGCACGGGTGACGGAGAGAAACAAAATGGTGCAGTTTGAGGTCATGTGGCGGAGAGGGATGCGGGCGCTGGAGATGAGGGTGTGAGCATGTGGGTCTGGGCAGGTGTGATGCAGTTGATGTTTGTGTGATGTTGTCGTTTGTGTACAGTGCCTTGCAAAAGTATTCACCCCCCTTGGCGTTTTTCCTATTTTGTTGCATTACAACCTGTAATTTAAATTGATTTTTATTTGGATTTCATGTAATGGACATACACAAAATAGTCCAAATTGGTGAAGTGAAATGAAAAAAATAACTTGTTTCAAGAAATTGAAAAAAAATAATAACGGAAAAGTGGTGCGTGCATATGTATTCACCCCCTTTGCTATGAAGCCCCTAAATAAGATCTGGTGCAACCAATTACATTCAGAAGTCACATAATTAGTTAAATAAAGTCCACCTGTGTGCAATCTAAGTGTCACATGATCTGTCACATGATCTCTGTGTATATATACACCTGTTCTGAAGGCCCCCAGAGTCTGCAACACCACTAAGTAAGGGGCACCACCAAGCAAGCGGCACCATGAAGACCAAGGAGCTCTCCAAACAGGTCAGGGACAAAGTTGTGGAGAAGTACAGATCAGGGTTGGGTTATAAAAAATTATCCAAAACTTTGAACATCCCACGGAGCACCATTAAATCCATTATTAAAAAATGGAAAGAATATGGCACCACAACAAACCTGCCAAGAGAGGGCCGCCCACCAAAACTCATGGACCGGTCAAGTAGGGCATTAATCAGAGAGGCAACAAAGAGACCAAAGATAACCCTGAAGGAGCTGCAAAGCTCTACAGCGGAGATTGGAGTATCTGTCCATAGGACCACTTTTAGCCGTATACTCCACAGGGCTGGGCTTTACGGAAGAGTGGCCAGAAAAAAGCCATTGCTTAAAGAAAAAAATAAGCAAACACGTTTGGTGTTCACCAAAAGGCATGTGGGAGACTCCCCAAACATATGGAAGAAGGTACTCTGGTCAGATGAGACTCAAATTTAGCTTTTTGACCATCGAGGAAAACGCTATGTCTGACGCAAACCCAACACCTCTCATCACTCCGAGAACACCATCCCCGCAGTGAAGCATGGTGGTGGCAGCATCATGCTGTGGGGATGTTTTTCATTGGCACGGACTGGGAAACTGGTCAGAATTGAAGGAATGATGGATGGCGCTAAATACAGGGAAATTCTTGAGGGAAACCTGTTTCAGTCTTCCAGAGATTTGAGACTGGGACGGAGGTTCACCTTCCAGCAGGACAATGACTCTAAGCATACTGCTAAAGCAACACTTGAGTGGTTTAAGGCTCTGTCCAGGCTCTGTCGTAGCCGGCCGCGACCGGGAGACCCATGGGGCGGCGCACAATTGGCCCAGTGTCGTCCAGGGTAGGGGAGGGAATGGCCGGCAGGGATGTAGCTCAGTTGGTAGAGCAAGGGCGTTTGCAACCCCAGGGTTGTGGGTTCAATTCCTACGGGGGGCCAGTATGAAAAAATAAAAAATAAAATAATGTATGCACTCACTAACTGTAAGTCGCTCTTGTTAAGAGCGTCTGCTAAATGACGTAAATGTAAATGTTAAGGAGAAACATTTAAATGTCTTGGAATGGCCTAGTCAAAGCCCAGACCTCAATCCAATTGAGAATTTGTGGTATGACTTAAAGATTGCTGTACAGCAGCGGAACCCATCCAACTTGAAGGAGCTGGAGCAGTTTTGCCTTGAAGAATGGGCAAAATTTATAGAGACATACCCCAAGAGACTTGCAGCTATAATTGCTGCAAAAGGTGGCTCTACAAAGTATTAACTTGGAGGGGGGGTGAATAGTTATTTCTTGTTTGTTTCACACCCCCCAAAAAAATTTGCATCTTCAAAGTGGTAGGCATGTTGTGTAAATCAAATTATACAAACCCCCCCAAAAATCTATTTTAATTCCAGGTTGTAAGGCAACAAAATAGGAAAAATGCCAAAGGGGATGAATACTTTCACAAGCCACTGTATGTTCTGTATTGTTATTTAAAAAATATATATCTCTCACCAAAACCATATAATTGTTTCTCATTGGTTACATAATGTGTTTTTGTTGAATATTGTTATGATAAGCAGCAACTGTACCTCTTCTCTGAAAACTGACCTCTCTCTCTCTCTATTTTCCCTCTCCAGTCACAGATGAAGACACTGTCAAGAGATACTACGCCAAGTTTGAGGAGAAGTTTTTCCAGAATTGTGAGAAGGAGCTTTTGAAGATCAACACATTCTATTCAGGTAGGCCTATTTGATGGAGCAGTGCTGCTATGCTAGTGCTGTGTTCCTCTGTAGCTCAGTTGGTAGAGCATGGCGCTTGTAACGCCAGGGTAGTGGGTTCAATCCCCGGGACCACCCATACGTAAAAATTTATGCACACATGACTGTAAGTCGCTTTGGATAAAAGTGTCTGCTAAATGGCATATTATGCTATGCGAGTTATTCTCTCTGACTAAGTGAGACCATCCTGTTGATTGGCCGTGAGCATCTGCAGTTTGCCCACTCACAGTAGGCTAACATTTAATGCCATAACTGTCAGCCTGCAGTGCATAGCCAGTAATTGCCTTGACATCTTGCACATGTATACATTTGTACATTGAGTGTCATGTAGAGTGATGAGCTTTACTTGTGTGCCAACTAAGTGACGTTTTGTCTAATGCGGGCACTTTGATTTAAGCATGGCTGACCAAATTAGCAAAGGAAGCCTGGTTTATTTCAGGATGGGAGTATATATGCCTCATTTAACATGAGATGTTATATACAGTACTGCTTAAAAACCTTTGCTCTGAGGTATCAGGAAACATTGCTGCCCCTAGAGGCTGTTTGTAGAACTGCATTTAATGGGCTGATGCCTCCTGGCAACATAGACATTCGATATATTCTGAATCTGTACTAACGAGCACATACTTTATTGGTAATGATAGGAGTTAGATGGGAAGCCAACAAAGTATACAGAAGGTGCATTAATTAGTGTCCACTTTAATTTGCCTTTCCTTAAAGTCTGAAAGATGTTTAAACTCCATGTTTTTCTTCTCCAATAAACATCCCCTCTCCCCTCCCCTTGAGGCTTTGCCAGAAGATGAAATAAACTCAGGCCAGGTTGGACTGCCAAATAGAACTGGGACTCTGACCAAAATCATGTTGCTCCTCGCTTTTATCTCCCCTGAAAAACAAGGATTTCCCATCCGTTCTAAAATGACTTAGGGGGATGGGGTATCCAAAATGGGGGAGGGGGGTGTAACTTTTTTCTTTGCTTTGGGGAGGATTGTGTAGTTTTTTATTGGGCACAGGGGAGGGTATAGTGTATTGTAATATTTGTGGTCTCCATTATTTCTCTCTTACTAGCCTACGGCATCCTCTCCAGCCACTCTGAACAACATATTGTAATGAAACAAGCAGGGAGAGTGAGCTTGTCCACGTGGTCGGCGAACCCTCAACCTTCTGGCCCGTAGCCCAGCGTGGCATGGACTGTGCATGCCACAAGAAGTGGTGGTGTCGATAGTGGTTGTGTCGATATGAGCGATTATAAACACAGGGTTGCTACCTTAATGCTAAGGCAGTTACTGTGGTCACAATCATTATTGAGGTAATTCAATGAAGGGTAATGTATTTATTTTCAAGTGACAACTGGAGTTGGACCCCCCCTCCCACTTAGTAGTGCTGAGTGATTAGTGCTCTTTGAGGTTGGTTCGGTTTCGGTTTGATTATTCAAAAATAATGACAGTTTTCGATTTCGGTGTCTTTATTTTTTATTTTTTTCGAAATACACTATGCATTATGTGGGTTGAATACTGTAACAACACAGAATAAAACAATTAATAAAAGTCTCCATGATGGTAGTGACTGCACATTACTGCTTATCACTTATTAACCATCATGTATTCACATTACTTCACTTTAATAAAATATTTCAGTTGTGTATATTACATTTGTTTTATTTGATGACTTTATTATGTCATTCCAAGTCATCCTCTCATCTCTATAGAGCTGATGCCTATGCTGTCTAACTAAAACACTATTTTAGTAGTTCTTCAAAGTAAATAAGGCATACTTTTATGACTGCTGAATACCAACTATCAATCACTCATGTATTTTCAGGTAGAGATACTTAGCGAAGCAACTGCTCTCTATCCCAGGGTGTCTGCGGGTCCTTATATTAATTTAAGTCTTTGTTTTCGAAGGCTTTTTACCGGAGATGGTGTTTCCGTTTATATTATGCCACTGCTAAATTGTTGCCACAACGGCAAAAATAGAAAACATCAAATGATACTCCTACCAAGGCGCACTTTCAAAATGCTAGAGCTAGAGAGCTACGGTATCTACATGTGTGTGCCAGTGCGAGTCAGGTCGTTGCCAGAGGAGAGGGAAGATAGAATTTGATTTATACAATTTGATAGACAACAACAACACCAACTAGATAGCCAATTGGAAACAGCTTGTAGCTTGGCTAGTTTGCTAGCTAGCCATTAGTTTGCTCTCGGTGACCCAAGGCATTAACAAGGCATTCTGCCTTATCCCAAGGGTTCTCAGCTATAAGCACCACTTACCTGTGGGACCATGTGAACTACAATCCCGACGCTCTGTTTTAACGTTTCGATTGTGATACGTTCTTCTAAACATATGGAACTTTTCTTTCATATCAGCGTGAAAGATACACTTACTGTAGCAGGTTTGCACAGATCCATATGGCTGTGTGCCTCCAGCCGAGGAACAACACTCCCACTACACTTCCTCCAGTTACGCTTACACAGAGGTGTTTGAGCACGCTAGATAGCTAATTAGCACAGGTGGTCGTAGTGATGGGAAGTAAGGCTCTTTTTACTGACTCTGATCTTTTCAACTCGTTCTGTACCGAATCAATGTGCGGGGTACAGGTTAGTCGAGGTAATTTGTACATGTAGGTAGGGGTAAAGTGACTATGCATAGATAATAAACAGCGAGTAGTTGGTGTCAATGTAAATAGTCTGGGTGGCCATTTGATTAATTGTTCCGCATTCTTATGGCTTGGGGGTCGAAGCTGTTAAGGAGCCTTTTGGACCTAGACTTGGCGCTCCTGTACTGCTTGCCGTGTGGTAGCAGAGAGAACAGTCTATGACTTGGGTGACTGGAGTCTTTGACAATTTTTTTGGGCCTTCCTCTGACACCGCCTAGTGTATAGAGGTCCTGGATGGCAGGAAGCTTGGCCCCAGTGATGTACTGGGCCGTACGCACTACCCTCTGTAGCGCCTTACGGTCGGATGCCAAGCAGTTGCCATACCAGGTGGTGATGCAACCGGTCAGGATGCTCTCGATGGCTCAGCTGTATAACCTTTTGAGGATCTGGGGACCTATGCCAAATCTTTTCAGTCTCCTGAGGGGGAAAAGGTGTTGTCATGCCCTCTTCACGACTGTCTTGGTGTGTTTGGACCATGATAGTTTGAAACTCTCTACCCGCTCCACTACAGCCCCGTCGATGTTAATGTGGGCCTGTTCGGCCCTCCTTTTCCTGTACTCCACGATCAGCTCCTTTGTCTTGCTCACATTGAGGGAGGGGTTGTTGTCCTGGCACCACACTGCCAGGTCTCTGACCTGCCAGGTCTCTCCCTATAGGCTGTTTCATTGTTGTCGGTGATCAGGCCTACCACTGTTGTGTCGTCAGCAAACTTAATGATGGTGTTGAAGTCGTGCTTGGCCACGCAGTCTTGGGTGAACAGGGAGTACAGGAGGGGACTAAGCACGCACCCTTGAGGGGCCCCAGTGTTGAGGATCAGCGTGGCAGAAGTGTTGTTGCCTACCCTTACCACCTGGGGGCGGCCCGTCAGGAAGTCCAGGATCCAGTCCTTAGCTTAGTGATGAGCTTTGTGGGCACTATGGTGTTGAACGCTGAGCTGTAGTCAATGAACAGCATACTCACATTGGTGTTCCTTTTGACCAGGTGGGAAAGGGCAGTGTGCAGTGCGATTGAGATTGTGTCATCTGTGGATCTGTTGGGGCGGTATGCGAATTGGAGTGGGTCTAGGGTTTCTGGGATGATGGTGTTGATGTGAGCCATGACCAGCCTTTCAAAGCACTTCATGGCTACCGACGTGAGTGCTACGGGGCGGTAGTCATTTAGGCAGGTTACCTTCACTTTCTTGGGCATAGGGACTATGGTGGTCTGCTTGAAACATGTAGGTATTACAGACTCGGTCAGGGACAGGTTGAAAATGTCAGTGAAGACACTTGCCAGTTGGTCCGCGCACCCCATAGTAATTTGCGAAGAGTCCCTAAGCATATCTAGCAGACGTCTGAGTCACATCAAGGCTAGACACCAGGCCTTATTATAATTGAAAGCAGTCTGGCTCGATGTAGGCTATAATGAAATCTATAGTGAAGGTTGTTTTCAGCAGTGTTGGGTCTTATTAGCAGTCATGTAGCCCATCCATTCACTTCACACCTGACTCCAGACTGCAGCATCATAATCTCTCAGTCCTCCTAGCCGGATGTTGGGATGAAACAAGCAATTACTGAATCTTGCTGGATAGACAGCGCCATCTCCCTCTTTTCATGTCGTGTTCAATGTGTGAGCTTTTACATAAGAGACTCCTCGCCTCCACAGAGAGCTGTGGCAAGCAGCTTCCCTCTTCTGAAAGGGGTCATCGACCCCCTTAATTTCACTGCGCCAGGATGACTTAACTCTATTCCAGGGAGAAAAACCAAAGCACAACACAGTCTCTGTTAAATGCTGTCACAATATCTAAAATATTTGTATGTATCCTCAAATATAGACTCCCGAGACAATATTTTACCTGTGGCTTTTCCTGGCAAAGCTCAGACATTAAAGCCTCTTTTTGTCGCTTCAGCCTGCACCTTTGTCTGTACACAAATCTACCCAGGCTTAATTTCTTCCTGCTTAGGTAAAGTATGTGAGTCTTGACTTTCTCACGCCTCATGTTATGTCATGACTTGAGCCATGCAGAGCAGATAGGAGGCCCTCTGGACCATGTAGACAGTGACATAATCTACTGTTATTCTGTGAGGGATTACTCTAATTTTAGCCATCAAAAGAACAGCTATTCAGGCATTCCTGTGAAATCCAGAGGCTGTGTGTGCAACTGAGCGGTAAAGTAACCGTTAAACCCACTGCACCTAATGTAACACCCCTGTCCTCACTGACCGTGGGCAACATGAGACGGTGCTAGGCCACTACCATTGCTTTGACCAGGTGGCCTAGTTGTGAATCAGGACTGAGGAGGTCTATTCCAAAAGCCTCTCTCTTCAGCCTTGGCCTATGAATAGGATGTGTGGTGGGCTGCAGAGTGCAGACCCAGGCTGAGGGGACAGTGGAGGATATGTGTCAGAGCTGGGCTTGATGAGTCCAGTCCAGGAATGTGGTAGTGGGAACGGGACTGGGGTGCGGCGAGGCTGGGGGAGGCCAAGGCGAGGTGGGGAGAATGTGGGCCATGCTCCAGATCCACTCAGGTTCCTCCATGCTCTGCTGTCTCTCTCTCAGGAGGGAAATTAACATTGTCTTGACCCTGGTAATGTGCTTGCAGAGGGCTGCATTTACATGACTGAAGAACTTAATACTCCCCTTCCGCTTCCCCCGTAATGGAGAGGAGTGTTTACCTCTGGCTGGACTTCCTGCAGGGCTGTTAATGAAGCCTAATGTTTATGTTTCTGACAGAAGTTACTCTCAAAGTGCAATCAGATCACTGAAGTTGAGCTGCATACTGCAGCTATGACACTGTTGCTCACTCAGTTGTTTTCCATATTTTTCCTCCTGCAGAGAAACTTGCTGAAGGCCAGAGGCGTTTCGCCACCCTGCAGAATGAGCTGCAATCGTCTCTGGATGCGCAGCGTGAGAGCAATGCGCCAGGCCTCCGCAAACGCAAGACGGTGTTCCACCTGTCCCAGGAGGAACGCTGCAAACACCGCAACATCAAGGACCTGCAGCTGGCATACTCAGAGTTCTACCTCAGCCTCATCCTGCTGCAGAACTACCAGGTTAGTACCCTTAACCCTAAACCCTACACACTACCCCTAGATACTAGCTCCGCCTCATCCTGCTGCAGAACTACCAAGTTAGTACCCTAAACCCTACACACTACCCCTAGATACTACCTCAGCCTCATCCTACAGCACAACTACCAAGTGAGACCCAGTCAGCCTGTCTCCACACCCTCTCATCTTTCTGTTTGATGCTGCTATAAGCATAAAATGTCTCTCTACATCTCACTCTCTCTCTATCCATCTCTATCCATCTATCTTTATTGGTGTCAATTTCTTTCTCTGTTTCTCTCTTTATCTCAGCAGAATAACCGTTCAGTCATTGTCTCCTGTTGTGTCTCTCTGCAGCGCTTGCTCAGTTCAGACTTAACCCCAGGATTGGTCTTTCTCCCAGAATCTGAACTTCACAGGTTTCCGTAAAATCCTGAAGAAGCATGATAAGATCCTGGAGACCCCCCGCGGGGCTGACTGGCGTGTGGCCCACGTGGAGGTGGCCCCCTTCTACACCTGTAAGAAAATCACCCAGCTCATCTCTGAGACAGAGGTACGTATGGAACCGAAGCCCCTGGCTGTGGAGGTGTAGGCATTGTTGAGGTTAACTATTTTCCGACAATGTTTACTCTGTCAGCTATTTTAGCTAGGTACAATCATGAAATTACGATTGTCCAAATTTCTCATTCTAGCATAGTCTGATCCTGGTCTTTGACTCCCATTGAATATGTTGTATTGCATTCTAACCGGTTCATGACTGAGCAATTGATTTGCCCTCCCTTTGACATGTCTTTGTTGTGTGTTTGTCAGGCTCTGGTGACCACAGAGCTAGAGGGAGGGGACCGTCAGAAGGCCATGAAGAGGCTGAGAGTGCCTCCACTAGGGGCAGCACAGGTGATAGAGACTGCACCATATATTTACTAGAGTGTGTATTTTAGTTCGTTAGTGGACAATTAACCAATCACTTTTAGATAATTCCAGCTTGTGTCAGCATCTCATCAACATCAACATTCTATGGCAGATCGACACACTTCCCACTCTTCATCTCCTTCCTGCTGTGTTTATATATGTATGTGACACACTCACTCTATTTATCCCCACAGTATCGATCCTGTAATAGGCTCTCCAAACTAGGCTGGACAAATGACTTTTTCCACAGGGGATGAGATAAAGGGGGCTGGAGAGAGTGCTTCACATCCCCTATCACATATCCCTCAGATCTATAGCTGTATTAATATCAATGTCATTCCCAGCCTGAATTGTGCTAGATCCAAATGGCTTGTCCAGATTCCCTGTGGGAACCTTTTATATGACTTGTATTTTTAGCACATACCAAAGTACTTGACGATAACACACTTTAATATAAGGACTCTTTCTATACCATGCACTGAATTGTCTGCAGCACAACCAGAAAAAGGTGATCTATTCTTTGAATGGTTTCTGCTTCCCTGGATAACAGTGTCTATCTGTCAAGCTAAATGAATTAGTAAATGCCAAGCGCGGTTCTCAAACTGTGTGCCTGACAACATTACAGTGGAGCCTAGAAGACTTGCTGTCACGCAGGTCTAGTAACTGGTAATTGCTTATCTCTGTTATTCTCTGCTCCTTCCTGCAGCCTGCTCTAGCCTGGACTACCTTCCGCGTTGGCCTGTACTGTGGGGTCTTCATAGTCCTCGCTATCTCCTTCATCCTCACTGGTACGTTCACACACAACCATGCTAATAAGGCCTTTTTACTGGGGGATTAGCTAACAGATACAGAGGAAATGGGGCTTAATATTGAGACTTGGCATTAGGGGGAGCTCAAGTTAGTTTTGCATACTGTATTGTAGCGTCAGATATTTGAAGGAGAATGACTATTATTATTTTTCAGGTGCTGTACTCATCCGGTATGAGAACGTGTGGCCTCTTGTGCGTATCTACCGTGGTGGCTTCCTGCTGATCGAGTTCCTCTTCCTGTTGGGCATTAACACCTATGGCTGGCGCCAGGCGGGGGTCAACCACGTGCTCATCTTCGAGTTGAACCCTCGCAGCAACCTCTCCCACCAGCACCTGTTTGAGGTAAGGGAGAAGGGAGAACCAGGGGATGCACAAGGACAATGAACAATAATAGAGTCAGACAGTATACTGAGAGAAATAGAGGAAATAATGGAGAGAAAAATCATCTTGTGTGATCACCAGGGAGCGAATGCACTGAATAATGGAAATAAAAAATTGTCAATAATCAATACTAATCTGAAGATTTACACTAGGGTTTTTTTTCTGATCATATTGTGAAGGACAATGTGTATACTGCTTTATAAAGGAAATTGACTGAGAATTCGATAGTGTTGTGTCACTATTTTCTTTGTGTCTTCCGTAGATTGCAGGATTCCTGGGGGTGCTGTGGTGTATGAGCATCCTGTCCTGTCTGTACTCTGAGTACATCATGCTGCCCATGCAGGTCAACCCCCTCATCCTCTACGGCTTCATGCTCCTCTTCCTCATCAACCCCTTCAAGACTGGCTACTACAAGTCCCGCTTCTGGCTGCTCAAACTTCTGGTGAGCTCCTTCTCCACTGGAACTACTGTATTATAATGATGAAATTAAATCAGTACAATGAAACCCGACTCAATTGGTGTTTGTGTGTGTGTACAACACTGTATTTGATACCTATCTCACATTCTATATTGTGTTCCATGTATCCAGCTTATATTTTCTTTGTCTGATGTTTGCTGGCTTGGGGGATGGGGAGGATTCTGTTTGTGTGCGAAACAGAGGCCAGTGGAGTGAGGGATAATAGGATAAATCAAATCAAATCAAATTTTACAACAGGTGTAGACCTTACAGTGAAATGCTTACTTACAAGCCCTTAACCAACAATGCAGTTTTTTAAGAAAAATAGAAAATAGCAAATCATTAAAGAGCAGCAGTAAAATAAAATAACAGTAGGGAGTCTATATACAGGGGGTACCGGTACAGAGTCAATGTGCGGGGGCACCGGTTAATCAAGGTAATTGAGGTAATATGTACATGTGGGTAGAGTTAAAGTGACTATGCATAAATAATAAACAGAGTAGCAGCAGCGTAAAAGAGGAGGTTGGGGTGGGGTGGGGGGGCAATGCAAATAGTCCGGGTAGCCATGATTAGCTGTTTAGGAGTCTTATGGCTTGGGGGTAGAAGCTGTTAAGGAGCCTTTTGGACCTAGACTTGGTGCTCCGGTACCGCATGCTGTGCGGTAGCAGAGAGAACAGTCTATGACTAGGGTGGCTGGAGTCTTTGACAATTTTGAGGACCTTTCTCTGACACCGCCTGGTATAGAGGTCCTCGATGGCAGGAAGCTTGGCCCCTGTGATGTACTGGGCCGTACGCACTACCCTCTGTAGTGCCTTGCGGTCGGAGGCCGAACAGTTGCCATACCAGGCGGTGATGCAACCAGTCAGGATGCTCTCGATGGCGCAGCTGTAGAATTTTTTGAGGATCTGAGGACCCATGCCAAATCTTTTCAGTCTCCTGAGGGGGAATAGGCTTTGTTGTGCCCTCTTCACGACTGTCTTGGTGTGTTTGGACCATGATAGTTTGTTGGTGATGTGGACACCAAGGAACTTGAAGCTCTCAACCTGTTCCACTACAGACCCGTCAATGAGAATGGGGGCATGCTCAGTCCTCTTTTTTTTCCTGTTGTCCACAATCATCTCCTTTGTCTTGATCACGTTGAGGGAGAGGTTGTTATCCTGGCACCACACGGCCAGGTCTCTGACCTCCTCTCTATAGGATGTCTCATCGTTGTCGGTGATCAGGCCTACCACTGTTGTGTATTCGGCAAACTTAATGATGGTGTTGGAGTCGTGCCTGGCCATGCAGTCAAGGGTGAACAGGGAGTACAGGAGGGGACTGAGCACGCAACCCCGGAGGGGCCGCCGTGTTGAGGATCAGCGTGGCAGATGTGTTGTTATCTACTCTTACCACCTGGGGGCGGCCCGTCAGGAAGTCCAGGATCCAGTTGCAGAGGGAGGTGTTTAGTCCCAGGGTCCTTAGCTTAGTGATGAGCTTTGTGGACACTATGGTGTTGAACGCTGAGCTGTAGTCAATGAATAGCATTCTCACGTAGGAGTTCCTCTTGTCCAGGTGGGAAAGGGCAGTGTAGAGTGCAATAGAGATTGCATCATCTGTGGATCTGTTGGGGCGGTATGCAAATTGGAGTGGGTCTAGGGTTTCTGGGATAATGGTGTTGATGTGAGCCATGACCAGCCTTTCAAAGCACTTCATGGCTACAGACGTGAGTGCTGCGGGTCGGTAGTCATTTAGGCAGGTTATCTTAGTGTTCTTGGGCACAGGGACTATGGTGGTCTGCTTGTAACATGTTGGTATTACAGACTCAGTCAGGGACATGTTGACAATGTCAGTGAAGACACTTGCCAGTTGGTAAGCGCATGCTCGGAGTACACATCCTGGTAATCTGTCTGGCCCTGCAGCCTTGTGAATGTTGACCTGCTTAAAAGTCTTACTCACATTGGCTACGGAGAGCGTTATCACATAGTCATTGGGAACAGCTGATGCTCTCATGCATGCTTCAGTGTTGCTTGCCTCGAAGCAAGCATAGAAGTGGTTTAGCTCGTCAGGTAGGCTTGTGTCACTGGTTGCACATTTAACATGCTGGTAGAAATGAAGTAGAACAGATTTAAGTTTCCCTGCATCAAAGTCCCCGGCCACTAGGAGCGCTGCCTCTGGATGAGCGTTTTCCTGTTTACTTATGGCCTTATACAGCTCATTGAGTGCAATCTTAGTGCCAGCATTGGTTTGTGGTGGTAAATAGACAGCTACAAAAAATATAGATGAAAACACTCTTGGTAAACAGTGTGGTCTACAGCTTATCATGAGATACTCTACCTCAGGCGAGCAAAACCTTGAGACTTCCTTAGTATTAGATTTTATGCACCAGCTGTTGTTTACAAATATACACCGCCACCCCTTGTCTTACCGGAGTCAGCCGTTCTATCCTGCCGATGTAGCATATATCCCGTCAGCTGTATGTTATCCATGTCGTCGTTCAGCCACGACTCGGTGAAACATAAGATATGACAGTTTTTAATGTCCCGTTGGTAGGATAACCTTAATCTTAGGTCGTCCAATTTATTTTCAAATGATTGAACATTGGCTAATAGGATTGATGGAAGAAGCAGTTTACTCCCTCGCCGTCGGATCCTTACAAGGCACCCCGACCTACGTCCACGATATCTCTGTCTCTTTCTCATGCAAATGAAAGGCGTTTCCCTGGGTATGTGGCGGCTGTGACTGTGCAATCATTACAGGGATGGATCCATCAGTATGCTGCTCCTCCAACCTTCCCCATCTCCCAAGCATCCCCGTCCCTCCCTGAGCCATTCCCAGCCCTCTCCAGCTCTGATTGGGCTCCACTTGGGCCTGTGCACCATTATGGAGATGCACACACCCACACTGAACACAGGCACTAACCAAAATCAGGGAACAAATCAAGACAGATACGCTGGTGTGTTAGTTTACGCAATGAATACATTTCAAATAATTTGTATCCTCTGGATGTCTAGAATTTCTTTGTGTGATTGGGATGGTGTGGGGATTAGTAAGGACATAGATTGACAGGTAGAAATCCTTAATTATCACACATATATAACAGCTTGAATCAATACTGCAGCTGAGACAACCTGGGGACTGGATGAGGCTGTATAGTGAGGCTGCAGAGCATACAGAGAGATGGGCTTGTGAAATGTCAGGCTAGTCCTGGAGGCAAGAGGGTGAGGGGATCATTCCCATTCACCCACAGTCTCATTCACAGACCCCTGATAACATAATCCAGTCTCAACAAAAAACATACCTAAAACACTAGTTAACCCAATCTTATTAGACTATATTAAATCAAACTGCTACAGAGGCTCTGCAGCTGACCCGGTGCTGCTCCCAGACTGTCATGTTTTGTGCATGTGTGGTGTGTCGGGTTGGATACTGTGTGTGTCAGCGATACTATTTCTGGTGTGGCAACAGCCCTGTTGAATGAGTGACAGATTGACACACTCCAACTAGAGCCTCATTAGGCTTTCCATACGTATCCACCAGTTAATTTACTGTAGGGAGACGCAAGGACTGCTGGCTGCTACAGGGCTCATGCCCTCAACACGTTCCAGCTCATTTTGCTCTGCCCTCTCCCCTTCCACTGCTCTAATACCCTGTACATGACAACCTCCTTAGCTGCATGACAATGATCTTCCTCCATGTTGAAGTCTTGTGTACACGATTGGAGCCGAGGTCTCTGCATTTGTGTCCCTTCTTTTTGGTAATTTGTACTGTCTGTTTTGCCTTCATGTGAGACAAGCATGGGAGTTCTAGTAGTATTAGTATGCAGAGGTGTACTGTAGATAGAAGAGCTGTCAATGTTTTCATAACCTCAGACTATTTCAATAAGCATTGCACCCCCCCCTTCAGTGTATATGTCTTCTATGGGACTACTAAACCTGTCTGTCTGTCTCCCCAGTTCCGTGTGTTCACGGCGCCGTTCCACCGCGTGGAGTTTGCAGACTTCTGGCTGGCCGACCAGCTCAACTCTCTCGTGATTGTACTGATGGACCTGGAGTATCTCATCTGCTTCTACAGCTTCGAGCTTAAATGGACCGACCGCAAAGGCCTCCTGCCCATGTTCAACGGTGAGTTAGTGCAATGGCTCCCTTTAGGTAGGAACTAGTTATGGTCTTAGTACAGGACTGGGGTGAGGTAACAGCCGAATGTATGTTACCTATACAGTATATCATGCTGGTTCATCAGCTCTGTTTAAACTCCTTTATAACAGTATTGTTTTGTTTGGGAGATGCAGTGCCTTCGGAAAGTATTCAGACCCATTGACTTTTTCTACATTTTGTTACATTACAGCCTTATTCTAAAATGGATTAAATAAATACAAATCTTCAGCAATCTACACACAATACCCCATAATGACAAAGCGAAAACAAGTTTTTAGATTGTTTTGCAAATTTATTATAAATTAAAAACAGAATACCTTATTTACATAAGTATTCAGATCCTTTGCTATGAGACTCGAAATTGAGCTCAGGTGCATCCTGTTTCCATTGATCATCCTTGAGATGTTTCTACAACTTCACAGTTGACAGCGCATTTCAGATCAAAAACCAAGCCATGAGGTCTTAGGAATTGTCCGTAGACCTCCGAGACAGGAATGTGTCGAGGCACAGATCTGGGGAAGGGTACCAAAAAATGTCTGCAGCATTGAAGGTCCCCCTCCATCATTCTTCAATGGAAGAAGTTTGGAACCACCAAGACTCTTCCTAGAGCTGGCCACCTGACCAAACTGAGCAATCGGGCGAGAAGGGCCTTGGTCAGGGAGGTGATCAAGAACCCGATGGTCACTCTGACAGAGCTCCGTAGTGCCTCTATGGAGATGGGAGAACCTTCCAGAAGGACAACCATCTCTGCAGCACTCCACCAATCAGGCCTTTATGGTAGAGTGGCCAGACGGAAGCCACTCCTCAGTAAAAAGGCACATGACAGCCCGCTTGGAGTTTGGCAAAAGGCACCTAAAGACTCTCAGACCATGAGAAACAAGATTCTCTGGTCTGATGAAACCAATATTGAACTCTTTGGCCTGAATGCCAAGTGTCACATCTGGAGGAAACCTGGCACCATCCCTACGGTGAAGCATGGTGGTGGCAGCATCATTCTGTGGGGATGTTTTTCAGCGGCAGGGACTGGGAGACTAGTCAGGGTCGAGGTAAAGATGAACGGAGCAAAGTACAGAGAGATCCTTGATGAAAGCCAGACTGGGTCGAAGGTTCACCTTCCAACAGGACAACGACCCTAAGCACACAGCCAAGACAATGCAGGAGTGGCTTCAGGACAAGTCTCTGAATGTCCTTGAGTGGCCCAGCAAGAGCCCAATCGAACATCTTTGAAGAGACTTGAAAATAGCTGTGCAGCAACGCTCCCCATCCAACCTGACAGAGCTTGAGAGGATCTGCAGAGAAGAATGGGAGAAACTCCCCAAGTACAGGTGTGCCAAGCTTGTAGCGTCATACCCAAGAAGACTCGAGGCTGTAATCGCTGCCAAAAAGGGTGCTTCAACAAAGTACTGAGTAAAGGATCTGAATACTTATGTAAATGTGATATTAAATGTAAATGTAATATTTCAATAATTTCTAAAAACCTGTTTTTACTTTGTCTCATTTAATCAATTTGAGAAAAAGGCTGTAACCTAACAAAATGTCGAAAAAGTCAAGGGGTCTGAATACTTTCCGAAGGCACTGTATGTACTGAGGTGAAATGGTTTAGCTCAATCTGACTCCTGTCAATAGAAACTGTTGTCCATGTTCAGTGGCGTATGTCTGTTCTGTCTGTCTGGGAAATGAGTCATTAATGGTTCTCCTCAGTAATCTGCAGCCCAACAAATCAGCAGCCAGGTAATTATTTGGAAATGCTTGTGTCCAGCTAGCCTTTGCCGAGTCTCCAACAACTGGATGTTCCGGTTTTCAGGCGACACTCCATCTTCACTCCTCCTGCACATTTCCTGGATTGGTTGGACAGTGCAGAAGAGAAGCTCCCCCAACAGTTTTTTTTCTTCTCGTTAAGACGAGTGTGTAGGACAGCGGTTCCCAAACTGGGAACTTTCCAAAATCTGAGATTTTTTTTAAATACAAAAACAAATATATCGTCTTTGTATCTCAAAATCAATGTAAAAATCTAAATTAAAATTATTGAAATCTAAAAGATTAAATTCAACCTGGGTGCCCTTAGATCGTGGGAAAGGCTCGAAAGGTCGCACTTGACTGTTTCGCTTGAATTGGAAGGATTCAAGTGCAACAGTCAAGTGCAGCCTTTCGAGCTGTCATGTGAATGAATGCTGCAGACAAAGCATTCACGGGTCATTACGGGGGAGATTTGGTTCCTGACTCAAAGGGAATACCCTGCCGTCTCCCTCAGAGCGTTAAAACTCATGGTACCCTTCACCAGCTCTTATCTGTGTGAAGCTGGATTCAGCAGTGCTCTCGTCTACATTAAAACCAAATATCGAAGAAAAAAATTGGAATCCCTGATGTAGGGGATCTAGGTTCAGGCGTTTCTTTTACGGCTGTTAGGGTCCAGTAGTGAGACTTTCATGCTGATTAGCTGTACACTCAAAAGGGCTGCTACTGCTCTGTGTGTGGGAGGGATGGAGAGCAGCACAATGCGGAATGGCAATGAGTCAGGGACTTCAGACATATATATATTTTTTTTAAGTAGTCATTTAACAGACGCTCTTATCCAGAGCAATTTACAGTAGTGAGTGCATACATTCTTTTCAGACTTTTTCATACTCGTCCCACGTGGGAATAGAAAACCCAACCCTAGTGTTGTAAGTGCCATGCTCTACCAACTGAGCCACACGGGAAAGCTAACCCAGCAATGACCATGAGCTGTCTCTCTCAGTGAGCAGTGGTCTCTGTGGAGCAACATGTGTGAGTCCAACAAATCCATGAATGTCCATCCTGGCATCCTCTCATTCCAACAGAACAATACAAAAGGTCAAGCTGTAAGAATGGTTGATACCAGAACCATATACAAAATGTAAATATGGATGTGGTTGATAAATGTTTGTTGTTGTTAATACGCTATTTTCTCCCCCGTTCCGACCAGGTGATTACACGTGCCATAGTTACTCCTACGGTCTCCGTGCCATCATCCAGTGTCTGCCCGCTTGGTTCCGTTTCGTGCAGTGCCTCCGTCGGTACCGAGACACCAAGCGAGCTTTCCCTCACCTGGTCAACGCTGGCAAATACTCCACCACCTTCTTTGTGGTCACCTTCGCCGCACTCTACAGCACCCACAAAGGTAAGGAGACACACCCAGCTCTCTGAGGCAGTTGGACAGTCAGGGGAGGATCATGGGAAGTGGAGTATTAGCAGAGGTGTTATTGCGCTGTGGACTACAGACAGGGGTTTTTGCTGTGATAGGAGGGGGATGTCAGGTTGAATGCTGAGGCACAGCGCATCACAAGCTGTATGAAGAAACAGAAAGCAGAGATGACCTTGAGTGCAAATGGTTTGCCACTGGAATAAAGATGTCAACCCTGGATTTCTTCTCTGTTATTCGATGCCTCATTATGATGGAAATGGGAAAGTAGAAAGCTCAACATCTCAGTCGAGAGAGGGGGATGATAACACTTAGTATCAAGGAAGTTAAAGCTTGTCATTAGAAGTCAAGGCACTATTCTCCAGCTCCACAATTAGCCGCTGATTATTCGGATTCAGAAGCGTGTACAAAAACATCCCTTCAACATTCAGCCTTTCTGCTATCTCATCTTGGCTGCATAGATCTTTGTCCAAGTCGATAATCTCAAAGCTGTTTGCTAAGCGGTTTCTGCCATTTCATTATTTATATACTTGTTCAGCAACGGTTATATATTTATTTGTGCAAATGCCAGCTTTTAAACTTCAGCTCAACCTTTGAAAATTGTAAATGTTACTTCACAGCATGATTTTTGCTTCCTTTTTCAATAGAAATGTAAATCAATATTTGTGTTTCTCCTGTAACCTGACTCTTCATTTGGCTTTAGTTTTGAAGGCAGTGGAGGCAGAGAGGAGGTTTTAGGTTGTTAGGAAATGAGACCATTAAGGGCTTTTCCTCCTCCAGTCATTCGGTCTGTTCCTCTAGTCTTCAGCCCTCTTTTTGAATGAAGAGGTATAGTCCAGGCGTTAAGTGAGAAGGGATGGAGGGAATATACAGACTACCATGCCCAGTTAACCCGCTGTCTTTCAACTGCGTTGGCAGGGCTACCAAATCTAGAATTTACAGAAAGTGAATGCACAGGGTGGCCATAGATATTTGAAGTATGTTCTCCATGGTCATTTGAATCTAAAGAGAAAGAAAATACTTATCAAATTGTTCAGTCCAGTGCTCTTTATTGCTAGACTGGTAGGGTCACGGTCTACAATATACTGTATGTTGGTCTGCTGTATAGACCTACTGCCTGAAGTCTAGACAGATGTGGGGGTGTGGCGCATCTTGGCCCCGAGTTTGACAGTTCTGCTGTGACATACAGTAAACGGGAAAAATAGATTAGGCCTGGACTGGAGTCTAGCACCCAAATTACAGAGCATCTGTTTCACAAGCAGAACAGAATGCATGATGATCATCGCCCAGTATTGAATCATGTTCATGCCGGGCACAGCGGTAGTAAATCAGCATAGGAAATGCTGGCAGGGCTCCCAGGTTGTGTATGGATATGTCACCTTCATTGTACATCCACAAAGTAGTGCTCTGTTGTTGCTTTGTGACCTCATTGATCCCAGTATTATACCACTACAACAGATAATTATTCTCTATGCACATTGCAATAAATGTATAAGGTGAATCAATGCAGAGGGTAAAATGTACCCTCCTACTATTTAGGTATTACGATATAGTAAAGGAGTTGGATTAATGTAAATTAATACAGGTAAAAGACTGAAGGTATCCAGAGAAATATTTGGCAGTCCTGTGAACAGATTAGTAAAGAAATAATAATCTGTAAATAAATCAAAGAACAATGCTGTGTATGCTGTCCCAGCTGATGTTCCAGGGTATGTAGAAATGGGACATGAGGGATTTGCTGATTTAGACTTTAGAGTTTATAGTCTCCAGCACTACAGGATATTAAGCCTGACAGGTAGGCCAAAGACTTTATTCAGGATCAATATGGGATCTGCTCTTGTACAGTAGTAGCTTCACTAAATGCCGTTTTAGATGCAGGAGAGGTGAGCAGTCATGCAAATGTAAGCCCTTAGGAATGCTTTCATGAACTGCCCAGGCCGTGGGGAGAGTAATACTGCAAGGGTAGCTGGAACGAGTAGCATAGTTCTGGAGGAAGGACACTCACTGGCTGATAGAGTGTGGGAGGGACAATGGATCAGGTAGATTACATGGTCTAGGTGAGACTGAGACAGACAAACAGATCAAATATCCCTCAGACTGGAAATAGATGGATACGAGAAAAGTGTTGTCTATAGAGGAATAATAGACCTGCTGAGTAAGTGACAGTCAAGCAATAATGAAGATACAAGAAAAAGTAGAACTAGTGTGAAGGATCAGCGAAAAGATATGAGAAGAGATTGAGAAAGGAGAGCAGAGAGGGAGGGGAGGGGTGGAGAGAGGGATGGAGGCAGGGGAACAGGATGGACTAGCTGGAGGAGAGTGAGCTGTAATAACTTGCCTGCGGTGAAACACATCTCTGGGGGATGCTGCTGGAATGGAGATGAGACCCAGCGCCAGGCCATGGCTGGCTGACTGAATATGATTTGATCACTCACATAGACACACACATTGTCTATGGACACACAGCGCTAGCTGCCTGAACCACTGCATAGGAAGACTTAAGTCAAATTGTTCTCACACTCCCCAACCTAACTATCGCGGTCATGATACCCACTGAACTCTGCCTCAACCCTGTTACGACAACACTCTCTCTGGGACATATTGACTATTATGATCAGTGTCATATTCAGTTGTAGGTTGAGTTCAGATCTAACTACCGGTATCTGCAATATGATACTCCAACCAAACAGGTACTAATATCACTCTACACAGACTATCAATCAGCCATGTGAAATCAACATGAGGTCACCTTCCCTGACTGAATAACCTTTGTTTGTTTTGCTAGGTCTCAGTGTCTGATTGGATAGGCTCTGTGAGGAGAGGGGGGTGGAGAGAGTGATGAGGCAGGCAGGTAATAGATTCTTTATCACCTGAACAGCAGTACAAGGCAGCCCAGGCAGGCGGCACCGCGGCAGATAACAACCCAAAGACAGATGATTGCTTTTCCCGGGTGCTTATTACTACCTTCAGTGGGAGGTCTGCCCTGGCCCTCTGGCCTTATAAAGTGTGCCTGTCACTGCAACGTCCCAAACTCAAATGGCTTTTAACCGCTTAGGTGCCTGCAAGACACAAGCATTTAGTGAGCGTGACAGAAGCTAGTTACCCTCTATTGAGCTCCAGATGAATGACTAGCCACCCACACTAGAGCCTCTGAGGACATCAGATGGACATCAGTTCTACAGAGTCCTCCAGTTTTCACGATTGATGTGTTATTAACTGTATCATTAGACTGCCTTGAATTTGTATTCGCATAAGTCTTCCATTAAAAAAAAATTTGACACAGGTTTGTGCTACAAACTTCAATGAGTATGTAATATCATGTATGTAATCCCAATTGCCTACTGTGAACACATCAGAAATACTTTTTGAAAGGAGACACACGACATGGACATTTTTAGGATGAATCTCAGCAGGGAATGTTGGGGTAATGTGGGGACATGGTACTGGATGAGGTAGTCTGATTCAGAGCCACTGTCTGGGTGAGAGCAGGGCTGGAGGGACCAGTGTAATTCTCTGTGAAAGATGTCCCCTGTTCATTTCCTGGCGCACTGGTGGCAGTAAGTGGGAGGTATTGACCATGACGGATGACACTGTCCCTGTCTGCTGTCTCTGTGTGGTCAGGTCAGACTGTGAATCTAACCAGTTTGTCAGTGAACAGACACACACAGACACACACACACACACACTTTATGACCAAGGTCCAAAGTCTCAGCTCTTGTGAATCTTGATTACTTGTCACATTCCTTAGTTAATGGGAACAATAACATACAGCAACCTATTCGAAGACACACAGTAGACTTACCCAGTGGATATACCATAGTCATTTTCAGTCAGTCCATTTTCAGTTCAGTCAGTCAGAAATCTCCACCTGGGTAAAGCTGGCTGGTGTGAATAGTTGTGATAAGGGTGGTTGCGTCACATTGCGTGATGTGTCTCCACAGGCCTGGGTGTCCTGTTGCTAGTGTTGGTGTGTGAGTCTGTCACACAGTGTTAGGCCATACTCTCAGTAATGTCACAGCGGGATAGAGCTCTCTGTGAACGCTGGGTTCAGCCCAGAGCCTGGGCAGATCAGACAAGAATACCTCAGTCATCAATAATCCCCCAGGCATTTCAGGCTGTCGCTGGAGCAGCATGGGAGTCTGGCCCAGTCAAAACACACAGCTATGACACAGGGAAATTAACATGACACTGCTGCACAGCTGGTCGCCATTACATATTGTTACTGGCATGAGGTCAATGTTCAAGAAGAAATTAGAACATAATAAATCATTAAATAAATATACACTTGTATATTTAATTAGCATTTAATGTATATATGTTTTTTTAGCAAAGATTTTTATTCTTAGTGAATTGCCAGACTGAAGGACACAACAACATATTGTTTCAAGAGTCTCTGAATAGTTTCCTAAGGATTAGCGTGGTATTTTCCATCCATGGTAACCTGGCTCAGTAAATGTACTATTTATGGTACAAGTTCTCCCTCTAGTGGGGATAGTGAAGACCAGAGACAAATTTATGAACAAGCTGCTGTCCAAGTCCGCAGTTCCAAGCAGACAATTTAGCTATGTTTCTTCTTAATTATCAAGTTATACACTGAGTGTACAAAACATTAGGAACACCTTCCTAATATTGAGTTGCACCCAAAGCAGCCTCAATTCGTCGGGGCATGGGGTATGGACTCTACAAGTTGTCAAGTGTTCCACAGGGATGCTGGCCCATGTTGACTCCAATGCTTCCCACAGTTGTGTCAAGTTGGCTGGATGTCCTTTGGGTGGTGGACCATTCTGTGGGAAACTGTTGAGTTTCGGAATGGTATCTACACTGATTGAAGTGGATTTAACAAGTGATATCAATAAGGGATCATAGCTTTTACCTGGTCAGTCTGTCATGGAAAGAGCAGGTGTTCCTAATGTTTTGTACACTCAGTGTATGCAGACAGATTGTTCAAAATACTACTGTTATACAGACTAATGATGGTCAAATGTCTTTGTGTTTGTGCTTCACAGAACAAAAGCATTCCGATGCAGACATGTTCTTCTACCTGCTGATCGTGTTCTCAGCCGTCAGCTCCCTGTACACGCTGATCTGGGACCTGAAGATGGACTGGGGCCTGTTTGACCGTGGAGCAGGAGAGAACACCTTCCTCAGGGAGGAGATCGTCTACCCGCAGAAAGTGAGTATCACATACATATGACTTGCACAAACACACACGCATGGAACACATACACACACACACAGTCTCCTCTGACCTGATGACTGTTATATTTTCCAGGCGTACTATTACTGTGCCATCATAGAGGACGTGATTCTGCGTTTCGCCTGGACCATCCAGATCTCCCTCACCACCATGACCAACATCCCCTCCGTGGGAGACATCGTGGCCACCGTGCTGGCTCCTCTAGAGGTGTTCAGGTGGGTTGGAGCATCGCAGAGTCTCTCTCGCATTCTCTCTCGCGCTCTCTCTCTCTCTTATATACCTCACTCTGTATCCACACACAGGCGTTTTGTCTGGAACTTCTTCCGTCTGGAGAACGAGCACCTGAATAACTGTGGTGAGTTCCGTGCCGTGAGGGACATCTCAGTGGCTCCGCTGAACGCCGACGACCAGACGCTGCTGGAGCAGATGATGGACCAGGAGGACGGAGTCAGGAACCGCCAGGGCAAGAAGAGCTGGAAGCGCAGCTACAGCCTGTCTCTACGACGCCCTCTGATGTCCTCTCAGTACGAACCTCCTCTCTCACACACACACACACACACACACACACACACACACAAACACACATGGCTAAGGCTAGGAGATTTTCCTGAAAACGTGACCTGAGTTTTTCCCGTTCAGGTCAATTGGTCAGGAAACCCTCCGGGTCCTCCAGGTTATGGCCATTGCCAGGAGTCTGTATATGGTGGCCTTGTGCTTGTCTGACACTATGTGTGTGTTCCTTCTCTCGTCCAGATCATCCAAGAAGGACACCAAGGTGTTGATAGAGGACACGGATGACGAGGCCTTCAGCTGAACCCTGGGCGCCGGCTCTACGCCCCCAGTGATCCTATCACTCCATCACAGAGCTGCCTCACCAAACACACATACACATACACCGGCAGACATAGATAGATAGATAGATAGATAGATAGATAGACAGACAGACAGACAGACAGACAGACAGACAGACAGACAGACAGACAGACAGACACAAACATACAGACAGATACAAACACACTAATACATACATGCACAGAGACACACACAACAATTAACTTACTCAAGCACAATCTCAGTATACGATATTGGTATAGATGAGGTGGAATTACACACACACAGTTCTGAGTTATTCAGACCAAGAGGGATACACACAGGAACATATTGGAGAAAAAACACCCAGACCTGGGATTTTCCAATGAGTACTTTTCTTTAACAGACTCATTAGTTTATTTTCTTTATGTTAATACTTTTTACTTTGTATATTTGTTTTTGTAGTTCGTTGCCATTTTTAAAGATGTATTAATAGAGAATAAACAACTGTTTACATGCATTTAGTATATCAGGATCAACAGGGAGAAGACATATTAATCAAAAAGACTAATAATAATGACCAACCTGAGCATTTGGTCTGGAATGCAACATTAACCACAGCATATCAACAAAATCAACTGGTTTCAACCTGTTGCTTCTTTTTCTACTCAACGTTTTGGGTTGATTTTGTTTATTGAGTTGTAATAAGAAAGTCGGTGTAAAACCCTGGCGGCACTAGCAGGAAAAGTGCATTTCAGACAAACATAAATATAATTTAAACATATTTTAGTCTGTGAAAGTTTCTTTGTATATTTGTTAATGTGCATTATTTGGATGTTAGAACTATTATGTACTCCATGTATTATTTATAAGAATGACAATAGCTTGAGCATCTGTGCAATGATATTTATGTGTTTCTCAATGGTGGGAATGTTGTGTTAGACTTGTGCCATGCTTTCTAAAAGCCGTTGTTGTAGAAGACCCTTCAGGTGGCTCATTCTCCCTCTCATACAAGCTTGGCTTCAGATCAGTCAGCCAGCACCTTACAACTTAAAAGTTATCTAATTAGCTCATGGCAAGTGCCCTACATTTGCAAAACTGTACTTTGCTTTTCTGCCAAAGTGTTATTTTAATGAATGTTGTTCGCTGGCATAGCATCAACTATCTAGCTAGCCAGAGAAGAATAGTCTGTTCTGTGCGGCGGTGGAGTTGAGAAGACTGAGTGAGCGTCTTGTGCATTTCTCTGCCCTTTAGGAATACTATCCCACTCTCTCTTTTTATCGGTCAACAACTGAAACAGCACTGTGATTGTTTTTCTATTGCAGTGTTTTCTACTGATTGTGTGGGGCACTTTGTATCTGGTCTGTTGTTGTTTTGGTATCAGCCTTCTCAGAAGCAGTGGAGAGAAAGATCAGCTGACAGTGACCAGCATTTCCACTGGGGTTCCTGTGACTACGATAGTGGGTCACGTGGAATCTTCACAGGATATTGTTGACGTCTGCTAAGAGGTCTTTTCCATGGGAGGAATTCCCTGGCTAAACATGAGATCATTATCTGTCATGGCTGCTAGCACTCTCACTCTCCAAATAAGTCCTCACCCTCATCTCTGTCATCTCTGAAAGATCTACAACTTTTACAACATAGCTGCTGCATCACCACTTCTGAATATAGAACGCATGCGTCATGTACAGTATCATAGACCCTGGGACTCTGCATGTGTTAGGGTTTTTACTAGTGGTAGTGTTTGTCAGGCTTGTTGACTAGAACAGGGACCAAGTGCGTGAGTCGTATCTCTGCTGTGTCAGGTGATCTCTAATCCTGGAAAGACTTCAGATCAGATAGCCATGATTAAACGGGCCTGTCCTCCTTGGGTTGTAAGGCCTGCAGTATATACTTGGTTTTAAGGAAAGGGTTAGCTCACAGTTTCAAGTCTCAGTGGCCAAACGTTCTGTTGAAGGTGAGGGTGATTTCTGTTACCAGCTCATTCTACAGTACGTCTGTTTCTCGTGCTTAATTGGCAATGCACTTATCAACAAAGCTCATGATTTTTGCTTTAATGTTTGTTGTTCCTTGATAAATGTTGGTACTTTTTATAACTTTTATAGTGAATTTTGGTTTTGCCAAGAAAAAGAACACCATGGAAATTGTACAACTGTTATCCACTGTTAGCTCTGTTTGTTTGTCCATTTTGTCACATGCATGCTTTACTTAGACAAATATAATTTGCGAGCACAATCTTTATCGGCTGTAACTTTGAAAGTGGGTAAGACCCTTTTTGTGGGCCACCTGGCTTTTCAAAGGAAGGATAAGTGTATGTCACTGCCTGCTTTCTCTCCCATCCCAGTGTGTGACATCCTGTCTGTCTTTCACCCTGTGGCTAAGCTGTTTACATGATGCAGTAGCCATGAGTTGATCACCATGAGCTTGCCTGAATTATTTAGACTGTTGACGTGTCTAATGAGAAATTAGTTGGGGACCCAGCACAAAAGTTCATAGGCTACAAAATGTGTTGCAAATGTCTAAAAGTGCCATCAACAACAAGAATGACATACAATGGCTTGTGCCTTTGAGATATATTTCTTATAATATTGTGGTGAGGATTGTAGTCAGAAAGACATATGGCTGTGCCATGGCGTCTGGTACGTCATTGAAACCACTATCACAAAACACACAATTCAATTCAATTATCTAACTACTGAGTGCATCCTCTTTGTTGGAAGAATAGTTGCTCTCACTTTCTTCCCATACTTCTCATACATGTGGTGCAGCGGTCTAAGGCACTGCATCTCAGTGCTTGAGGCGTCACTACAGACCCCCTGGTTCGATTCCAGGCTGTATCACAACCGGCCATGATTGGGAGTCCCATAGGGTGGCGCACAATTGGCCCAGCGTCGTCCGGGTTTGGCCGGTGTAGGCCGTCATTGTAAATAGGAATTTGTTCTTAACTGACTTGCCTAGTTAAATAAAGGTTAAATAAATACTCACTATAACTACTGAACAGGCCAGTCAACCAGTCTTTCCACCAAAGCGCACTCTGCTGCAAGGATGCCTTTTCATTCCTTGTAGCTTTTGCATTTCAGGCCTTTTGAAGCAATGGATAGCTCTTCTACCCCTCAAAACACATATATACACACATACACTGTTTAATCTCACCTAAACCTCCCTCTAACACTATCCTCTTTTGTCAGAGAGCACAAACTTCTCCCTCCAACTTCATGATTGTTTTAGTATTGCTCTGCCGATTGTCTTGCCTGCATGCTGGTTTTGTTTTCCATTGTACATATCTTCATTTATTTTTCATTATATGAATACTGATTATACTAGCTGTACTGATAATTCTTGATTACATACAGTGCATTCGGAAAGTATTCAAACCCCTTCACTTTTTCCACATTTTGTTATGTTACAGCCTTATTCTAAAATTGATTAAATTATTTTTCCTCAATCTACACACAATACCCCATAATGACAAAGCAAAAACAGGTTTTTAGGAATTTTAGCAAATTGATTTAAAAATAAAGAAATGGAAAAATCACATTTACATAAGTATTCAGACCCTTTACTCAGTACTTTGTTGAAGCACCTTCGGCAGCGATTACAGCCTCGGTCTTCTTGGGTATGACGCTACAAGCTTGGCACACCTGTATTTGGGGTGTTTCTCCCATTCTTCTCTGCAGAGCCATTCAAGCTCTGTCAGGTTGGATGAGGAGCGTCTCTGCACAGCTATTTTCAGGTCTCTCCAGAGATGTCCGATCGGGTTCGAGTCCTGGCTCTGGCTGTGCCACTCAAGGACATTCAGAGACTTGTCCCGAAGCCACTCCTGCGTTGTCTTGGCTGTGTGCTTAGGGTTGTTGTCCTGTTGGAAGGTGAACCTTGGCCCCAGTCTGAGGTCCTGAGCGCTCTAGAGTAGGTTTTCATCAAGGATCTCTCTGTTCCGTTCATCTTTCCCTCGATCCTGACTAGTCTCCCAGTCCCTGCCGCTGAAAAACATCCCCACAGCATGATGCTGCCACCACGCTTCACCATAGGGATGGTATTGGCCAGGTGATGAGCGGTGTCTAGTTTCCTCCAGATGTGATGCTTGGCATTCAGGCCAAAGAGTTCAATCTTGGTTTCATCAGACCAGAGAATCTTGTTTCTCATGGTCTGAGAGTCTTTAGGTGCCTTTGGCAAACTCCAAGCGGGCTGTCCGTCTGGCCACTCTACCATAAAGGCCTGAGTGGTGGAGTGCTGCAGAGATGGTTGTCCTTCTGGAAGGTTCTCCCATCTCCACAGAGGAACTCTGGAGTTCTGTCAGAGTGACCATCAGGTTCTTGATCACCTCCCTGACCAAGGCCCTTCTCCCCCGATTGCTCAGTTTGGCCGGGCGGCCATCTCTAGGAAGAGTCTTGGTGGTTCCAAACTTCTTCCATTTAAGAATGATGGAGGCCACTGTGTTCTTGGGGACCTTCAATGCTGCAGACATTTTTTGGTAACCCTTCCCCAGATCTGTGCCTCGACACAATCCTGTCACGGCGCTCTACGGACAATTCCTTCGACCTCATGGCTTGGTTTTTGCTCTGACATGCACTGTCAACTGTGGGACCTTATATAGACAGGTGTGTGCCTTTCCAAATCATGTCCAATCAATTGAATTTACCACAGGTGGACTCCAATGAAGTTGTAGAAACATCTCAAGGATGATCAATGAAAACAGGATGCTCCTGAGCTCAATTTCATTAGCAAAAGGTTTGAATAATTATATAAATAAGGTATTTGTTTAACAAATTAGCTAAAATTTCTAAACCTGTTTTCGCTTTGTCATTATGGGGTTGTGTGTGTAGATTGATATTATTATTTTAAATCAATTTTAGAATAAGGCTGTAATGTAATAAAAAGTGAAGGGGTCTGAATACCTTCTGAATGCACTGCACATTGTTTTCCATTTAGCTTTAAAACAAGCAGTATTCTAGGGGCTGAGGAGCATTTTGATTGTTCACAATCCTGCATTCAAATGTAAAACCTGTTGAATTGTGTTTGTAAAAAAATAAGTGAATCTGGATTGTGATTGGTCGTATTTTGTTGGGGTTTCTATACTTTTTCCTGACTCCCTCATCCTCAGGGTTGGCGTCCAGGGCTACTGGAGGGAGGGGAATAGGGGTTGGCACAAGATACTAATGGAGGACGTTTCATAGGACATTACCTTGGAAGCATTCTAATGCATATATGACTGATTAGCAGTTACTCACTAATTTATAAAGAACTGACCAATGTCTAATGACAAGAGATGGTCAAAAAGTGATAACCCTTTGACAGAGGGTTACTTTGTACAGTTCTTTTGTAAGACCTGAATGATACGCAAGCCCTGACACCACATTTTCCCACTCAATGATTTGCTGATATTACTGCTTACCAAATCCCATGATAGTGTTTGATATCTCTGCATATTTACTTCCTTCTTGATGTTGTTGTACCCTTTCTTTCTAAAGTAGAAGACTGTAACTGTGTCTATAGTAACTAGATTATGTACTTTGATTACATTATAAAAAACGATAACATAAATAGATCAGATGTGGTTGTGTTTTAAAGAGAAAGAAAACGTCTTACAATCCCCCTTTGACAGAGTAGTTTGTAAATGTTGAGTGTATAACGCTGTACTATGATGGTCTCATTTGCATTTCTGTATACACTTTGGTGATCCTGTCATCTGGGTTTTATAAACCACGTTTATTTTTTAAACTGTCGCCGGCTTTTTTATTTGTTCCATTCCATAATAAAAAAAGTGTCGTCTGTACCGAGATGTCCTAATGCTGAACATAAACATACTCGGTGAGGAATTTTGTTGGCAAGTTCTTTGAAAGGAAAATAACAGATGCAATGTTGCGCTCCCATACCTTACAAGTTCTGCAGCCCAACACAATCAAATGAAAGAAAAGACCAGGCTTTTCCAGGCTGTTTAAGAAGTTCACAACTAGGTTGTTTATTTTCATGATAACTGATACAGGATAAATGTTATACATTCTTTTTTTAACACTGATTTTGTTTATTTTAGTATGCAAAATGACAAAGTAAAGATTTGGTGAAATCATGAATGATACATAATTCCAATGTTCCATAAAATTAATAAAATTGAATCAATAGTGAGGACTCGTCACCTTGGCAATCATCAATTTTTAGATTAGTCACAAGACAAAGAAAATGTCAAGAATTGGCTGCCAGAAAACACTTAGATCCATGGACATTTTAAATTTCATTCATATTCATGTAAATGCATATATAAAATGTGTACAGTTGTATATGCACATACAGTAATGCAGTTACTTAAGTTCAGCTTACTGTACAAAAGACAATGGAGTATGACACATTTTTTCTAACCATTTCTCTCAGTACTTCAGTATAAACATATACAAACAAACAAAAAGGCCCTCTGGCTTCAGAAGCTAAAAACTACAATGGACTTAAAAAAAAGAGACATTCACATTTCTGAAACAAACTCAATGATTTGAATCTCCCATCACTCTGCTTGCACTGCTGACTGTGTGAACAGAGAAGCAGCATGGGTGAGTCAGATGAAGATCTCCTGTGTTCTGTGCTGGATTCCCCCAGGATGCCCTGGTCTCTCAGTCTCAACATGTCTGCCAAGTCCATCGCTCTCCATGTGTGTGTAGTGAGTGTGTGTGGCCTCTACGGAGAGGTGGGTTTCCTACTGTAATGCACCTGGTATCTGTTGACAGGCAGGCCTTTGACCTGTGTGTTGAGGCAGGTGGTCTTGCACGGGATCATGTCCTCCATCTCCTCACCTATCAGCCAGTCGTGGACCGAGCGCTCGGCCGCCGGGATCACATGCTCCGCTAGCCAGCCCTGGTGCCACTTGTCAAAGCGCTCGTGCTGGTTCACAGCGACCCTGTGCTGGGACTGTGGGAGAGAGACAGATGGGAAGAGTCAGTCACTGTCAGACCTACAGACAGTGTCTTAAAGGGACAACATTCCACAGTGGAAGCACTCTGGATGATAAGTGCCATGACGATGTCTAGCTGATGCCAAAACAAGACACATAACACTTTAAAAGTGTTGGAAGCAGAATTTGTCTGCGATCTGTAGCTATAAATAACTTCATATATAATCTTGTCCCTTCTCGTTCAATGCCCAACTTAACTTTTCTTCACCTCACACATGCAATCCTAGACATAAAATGGTCCTAGCTACCTTCCTGGCTTTGACCAGCGCTCCCCGGCGGTACATGTAGTCCTCAGAGTTCATGACGAACACCATCTTGTGGGTGTTGAGTTTAAAGCGGCAGTCCAGGCTGCCAGCACTCTCCACACCCAGCTGTCTGTGCCACTCCCGTCTGCAGCGCATCGCCTCCACCTGGCGCACCTGCCAGCGTCTGAAGTGCCTCAGGTTCCTACACACACACACCAGAGGGAAAATACTGTGGTTCAGACAGAGGACCACAGTGAAGCAAGGGACAGTCATATTCAAATCAGAGCCTGATATGCTAGGACTCATTTTGTGCTTGGCTGTTATGGCGAGCAGAAACGAACTATCTGCACTGCAGTGCTTTTGACAGTCATTAGTTAAGATAGTGAAATGACTATGTGAAAACACAGCATTGCTGTGTAACGTCTAGGGAAATCATGTGGCTTCATTCAATGGCCAAGATATGGACATCACAACCAAAGGTAATAGCGTGAATATCTCACCTGGGCAAAAATACAGGTTTGAAAAAGTAGCCTTCATTCTGCGAGCAAAGCGTTGACTTGGTCCCTACAAACTGTTCCATATAGCTGGACAGGCACTGAACAGGGATAGAGAAAAATGTATCAATATCAAAACAATGCCATTTCAAAGCACTAAACTGTGAGATTAAATAACAAAGGCCATAAACTCAATCAGGGTTTATTGGTCATTATAAACTGGGTGGTTTGAGCCTGAATGCTGATTGGCTAAAAGCTGTGGTATATCAGACTATACCACGGGTATGACAAAACATTTATTTGTACTGCTCTAATTACGTTGGTAACCAGTTTATAATAGCAATAAGGCACCTCAGGGGTTTGTGATATATGGCCAATATACCACGGCTAAGGGCTGTATCCAGGCACTCAGCGTTGCGTCGTGGTATGAACAGCCCTTAGCCGTGTTATATTGGCCATATACCACACCTTCTGGCCTTGGCCTTATTGCTTAATTTAGTTTTCAAAGTGGTTGGGAGCAATAATAATGTTGACAATTTATTAACCTCAACCTGTATAAAGAAAGCTGCCCCTTCAAAAGCTGGTGCAGGCCCTACTGTTCTAGGGTTCCGTTAGGGCAGGGTTTCCCAAACTCATCCTGCCACAGCTTGATGAGTTGGTTATTTTAAATCAGCTGTGTATTGCTAGGGCAAAAACCAAAATATGCAGCCAGGGGGGGCCCCAGGACAGAGTTTGGTAAACCCTGCTTTAGGTCAGTGGTATTCAAACTATTTCAGCAGGGAACTGATTTTTATTTTCCACTAGAATTTCAGGGGACCCCATTTTTTGGGGCAAAAATAAGGACAACCTTAAAAATCAGTACATTTTTACATCAACAAATAAACTTCAATTCATTACATTTTCATCTCTCATCAAAATTAAAAGAAACCAATAAATAAATGTGCTTTATCAAATGATCTTTCTCAAAAACGTTGTATATATGTATTGTTAATTTTTGGTTCCAGCTACTGAAGACCTATTGAGTCATCCAGTCAAAAAAAAAATTGGGGCGACCCCACTGCAGTTCCCAACCCCGACTTTGAATACCACTGCTTTAGGGCACAGCAGGTTGCTATTCAAGGCCAGTCTATGTTCATGTCCAAAGGGAATACTATGACATTCTGCTTTAGGGCACAGCAGGTTGCTATTCAAGGCCAGTCTATGTTCATGTCCAAAGGGAATACTATGACATTCTAAAGGTGCTAACAGTGCGACTGTCCGTAGGATTCTTTACCTGTACATCCAATGGATCATCAGTCTGGGACTCCTCGGTGTCCAGCAGCTCAATGGTCAATGTCACCTGGCCTTTGTTCTGAATGAACATTACCTACAAAATAAATCACATCCCAGCAAGCCATTAAACATCAATGATCAACACTTAAGACGGTTTCAGAACGCATTAAATCTCTGTTACAATAAGCAGCAGCTGAACTCCTACGAACAAAACCATCCCGCTTCACCCAAATAAAATATACAGAAAATCTCTTCAAATATACAAAGCTCAGCATTTGTCCCCAGGGCAGGCCGTTACCTTAAAGCAGTTCTCCTCAGCCATGACCCTCTCAGACTTCCACTGGTAGTTGGTCTCCCAGGCTGTTCTCACACACTGGGACGACAGGTTAGCCCCCGCCGCGCCCCTCTTCCTCTCGGCCAGGTACAGCTCCGCCACCTGCAGACACACCTCGTCACTCACCAGGTGCTGCAGCTGCAGGAAGAGAGAGAGAAATGGCATGTCAGTTTAGCGAAAGGAAAACCTACAGGCACTCAGAGAACAGTTAAACACTTCAGGATCACTATATTCTTGAGGTAAAGAATGAATAGGTAGTTAACGAACATGCATCTGGTTCTGTAGATTCTTAATGAAAACTGGCAACTAGAGAGACACACCACTGACCTGTCTAATGATGTTCTGGATGAGCTTGTCGATGGTGAAGCCAATGTAGGCGTGGATGGTGAACATCTCCCGCAGTGTGTCCTCATACTGCGTGGACTCCAGGTTCCCATCCAGAAGACTGCGCACCATATCCAGGAACGCTGGGTAGTACTCCTCCAGTTCCACCTCACCTGTAGAGCGAGTTCAAAGGTCATTGAACAGACACTAGCTAGCTACAGAACTTCCCTCTCAAATAACATTGCATACTTGAGCCTAATGTTCCCTCTCCTATACTCAAAGAAATTCAGGCTACTAAATATGAAGGACATTAGATCTAAGAGGTTCTTACTGGGCTGTTTGAGGCGGAGCTCCATGGCCAAGTCGCGGCCCTCGGCCATCAGAAGCCTCTCACGGTTCTGCTCTGCCCGGTGCTCCAGCAGTTGCCTCTCCGCCTGCCGGTACACCCGCAGCAGCCGCTGGCACAGGGTCTGGTGCAGCCGCAGGAAGAAGTACCAGTTGTTGTTGACGAAGAACAGGTTGTAGACTCCGTCCAGCTCCTTCTGGTGCTCTGCCTCAGGGTCTCTCAGGTCCACCTTCTCCCCTCCCTCTGGAGCCAGGCTGTGGGAGGAGGCTCCACCCAGCTCCACTGTCTGAGGAGAGGTACAGCGCCGCCGCCTCGACTCCCCGTTCAGCTGCTGCGGTTGTTGTTGCTGACTGCCTGGTGCTGCTACGGCTCCTGGTACACTGCCACCTCCTCCTCCCCTGTCTCCTCTCTCCTCCACCTCCTCGTCCGTCCACTCCTCCGTCTCGCTGAGCTCGCCGCGGCGGGAGAAGAAGAGGTCAGGGACAAAGTGCTGGATGATGCGCTTGATGTGGTCCTTGTCGTCCTTGTGGATGGTGGGCTGGCGTTTGACGTGGTAGATGATGAGGGAGGCGGCGTCCTCTAGGATCTGCTTGTCCTCGTAGGTGAACACCATGTGGGGCTCGCTGACCGCTGCCCTGCTGCTCCCGTCACGCCCCTGCTGGACCACGCCCCCCTCCTCTGTGCTCTGCTCCTGACGCTGAGGGGGACAAACACACAGGTTAGACAACACAGGAGAACACCTCCTTTCTAAGAACCTTTGATTTATCGGTCGGGCGAATACAAAGAAAGTAGATTGAATCGGAGTACTCACCTCATCATAAACACTTTCAATCTCATTGAGCAGGCTCTTGGATCGAAGGGCCTTCATGTCATTCTGCTTGAAGTTGACCCCCTGGTGGTCCAGGGACTTGAGGTAGGCCTTCTCATACTGCTCCCTCCAGATCTTGTTGAATCCCTGCTGGGCTTCTCTCCACTCCTCCTCCTTCGCTTTCAATCTACAGACACAGCGGAGAGGACAGAAGAATTAACACACAGCAAGATTCACATTGGTCAAGTAATTTGGGTCAAATCTCTGCATGTGTACGTGTGTGCACCCTGACCTCTTGAGCACCACAGGCACGGCAGTAGCAGGGCTCCTCTTCAGCCCCTCTATAATCTCAGGGGCCTTGTCGCCATAGATACGGTAGATGGCTCGGCGCTGGATGACCTCAGAGGTGCCTCCCAGACAGTCGTCCAGACGGAAGCGGTCCTGGTCCTCAGGCGACAGACGGGACAGTTTCTTCTGAACGCTCTCCAGGACCCGGATGGTGGCCAGGTTAGTCTCCAGGACCACATCCAACTGGAGGAAACAGGAAAATAACAGTGAGAAAATGTTTCTCGAATAAGGTCCTCAAAAGTGATTCTGCAGTGATGCTCTGGGTAGATAAGGGAGAATAGTTTGTTTGCATGTAGTTGGTGGCTGTAGTAGTAGTACTTCTGATATCTCGGCTTGCTCACCTCAAACCTTTCGTCCTCACAGCGATGAAGCTGCTCCTCGTATGGGGTTTTCTTTGAGCTCACAAACGTAGAGTCCTCCGACCACGAGGGGAAGGACACCCAGGTGTCATTCAGCACCTGGAAATACAGTATTTTGGTTTTACTTTCATTTTCCATACAACTGAGAATATTATCATTGATGCCAACCAGAAGCCGTTGATTGGCGAAATACAAAATGACATTCAATTCCGATTGATCTTTAATAAATTACCCCATCCTCAATCTTCTGATATAGATATCAAGACAAAAGCACTGAATAAGCGTTAGCTAAGTTTAACTTTGAATAAATGTGGATAATCACGAGGCACTGGCATGTAGCAGCTTAAACAAAACGACCATGGAAGTAGATTCACAGCTATTGGAGCAATAGTGATCCCTGTCAAGGCCATATAGCAAGCCTTCAGCCAACAACTTTGTAGTGTCTCCTACCAGACTCAAAAAAGGGCTATACACTTGAAATAGAAATCAGAGGTGCTGGAATGGCAAAACTTTAAATAAATACAGAACTGCTTTCAGTTATGAGCACCTCTTTGCAGATGGCAGTGCGACCGCTGCACTTGGGCTGCTGGTAAGTCTTGGGTAGTGCTCTGTAGCTGGATCCCAGGCGCTTGCAAGAGGCATAGTCGACCTCCCTGCCCCCACCTCCTTCCATGTATCGGTCTGACAAGCCAGACACTGAATGAGAGAGCTCCTTGTCTCCCAGAAAAGACTTGAACTGGGTGTATAGCTCTGGAAACTTCCTGGAGGAAATAATGAACATGTACAAATGAATGAATGGCTCAAGAGGAGACTTGGCAAAACATACTGCCCTTCATGCAGTACAATAATATCATTATGCATTTATTTACTGAGACAGACATCAGTGACTGTTCTCCCTGAAACCTCCCACGATCCACTTACCCCAGAAAGGGAGTGACAAGCTGCAGCAGCTCTGCTCCCGAAACCACTTCCTGGTTAAACAAAGCAATGCAGCGGAGGAAGTTCTCGTATACCTCCCGACTCTTGAAGAAACGGCGAAGCTGCAACAAATTGGAATTTTTTTAAAAATCGTAATTGGTGACCAAGGCTTTCATGACATCTGTCACAGCCAAAACACATTATGGGCTGTCTTGAGCATTGGGCTGTCTTGAGCATTACCTGGGCTGTCTTGAGCATTACCTTGTCAAAAAAGGTGAACTCCCGCAAGACTCCATGCTTCCCAACTGAGGCAAAGGACTGGTCTTTGGAGCATGAAAACTTCATCTTTTTCTAAAAACAAAAAAACAGAACCAATCACATACAGTAAATGTCTTCTAGGAAAATGCAGACGTGTATAAATGTGTGATTAAGTCCAGACCTTGAGCAGTGGTGTCATGTGAGGCAGCAGCATGGGCCTGGGTCTCTTCTTGCTCATGTCCTCGTCCCTCTTCAGATGGTCTTTCCCTGTCAGGGAGCTGCCAGTGAACTGAAAGGACACAGAACTGATAGTTCGATATAGAAACACAAATTGCACTGAAAGTCAACTGATAACAGAAAATGACCATGGACAGGACGCTCTCAGAAAGAAGGGGAAAATACTGACCAGTGATCTCTTAGCATCTGGTAAGAACTGTCCAAACTCAGCCAGTAAGTCCTCTTGGCCTTTGAAGAGGCTGGCCACTTTCGAGAAAACTTCATCCTCTGTCATCCCACTACTACCATGACCCCGGCTCTCCTTGACCTCAAGCTGCTCCTTCTGAAAAGACAAAAACAGACAATTATTCCATCGGAGAACCTGTGATATGATACACACTAATCTGCAAAAATTTAAAGTAGCCTTGATGCTAGCAAACAACTTCACTTTAAGCAGACTTCACTTTATATCAAACTAATATATTGTTTTCAATTGACAGAAAAACAAATCAATTACCATATTGATGACACAGTGTACCTGGTAAGTGTGTAGTATCTCAAGGAAGGATCTGTAGATCTCTGGATGGTCTAAGAAGCGGTTTTTGATCTTGTTGACATAGCTGATGGCACTGTCAAATTCTACTGGGCTGGGCTCTGAGGCAGGGGGGGACACTGAGGAGGACTGTGGCTGGGATGGGCTCTCTCGACTGGGGAGTGGCAAGGACAGTCTACTAGGAGGCTCTGGGGGCCCAGAGGATGAGTAGATACTTTCAGGCGATGCCACAGCTTCACTTTGGGCAGATCCAACTTCAGCAACAGATGAGCCTGTGGCACTCACAGCAGGGCTTGCCATACTCTTCCCCTGACCTGGGGACACCTACCAAAGAAAAAGGGTCACTCGTGGTTAACATAAATTAACTTCACAACATGCGTCATAAGAGCACCTTGATGTCTGACCATTTTGGTCTGCTCTTGTGGAGAAGTTGTGGCAAACTCCACTTATATATAGGCCTACTGCCAGTACTTGGTATAATAGTTGATTAATAAAACTGGGTTACAAATGTTGTGCATAGGCAGCCAGTATTAGAGTTGTCTGTAAACCAAATCAATACACATTTAGGAGTGACCCACCTGGGCAGAGAATGGGGACTGAAGGAAAACCACTCCATTCTTGGGAATCTCTATCCGATACCCTGGGGGCAGGAAGGCATTGAATCCTAAGACAAGGTCCGGGTGCCCGTGGAAGAGCTGAGACACCCGGTTTATAACACCCGGTGTGTCAATGCTATGAAGGAAAGAAAGATTTGACAAATTTCATTGGGACAGAGGAAGAGACCTTAAACGAGATGGCATTAAGAAAATCTGCTTCTCAACATAATTTAAGAGTAACTTCAATAGTATAAAAAAAGCTATGTACAGTGAGTGGCTTGTGAAAGTATTCGCCCCCCTTGGCATTTTTCCATTTTGTTGCCTTACAGCCTGGAATTAAAATTGATAGTTTTTTGGGGGGTTTGTATCATTTGATTTACACAACATGCCTACCACTTTGAAGATGCAAAATATTTGTTGTTGTGAAAAAAAAAAAATTATTTGAGCGTGCATAACTATTCACCCCCCCAAAGTCAATACTTTGTAGAGACACCTTTTGCAGCAATTACAGCTGCAAGTCTCTTGGGGTATGTCTCTATAAGCTTGGCACATCTAGCCACTGGGATGTTTGCCCATTCTTCAAGGCAAACCGCTCCAGCTCCTTTTTTTTTCCTTCTTCAAGTTGGATGGGTTCCGCTGGTGTACAGCAATCTTTAAGTCATACCACAGATTCTCAGTTGGATTGAGGTCTGGGCTTTGACTAGGCCATTCCAAGACATTTAAATGTTTAAAACACTTGAGTGTTGCTTTAGCAGTATGCTTAGGGTCATTGTCTTGCTGGAAGGTGAACCTCCGTCCCAGTCTCAAATCTCTGGAAGACTGAAACAGGTTTCCCTCAAGAATTTCCCTGTATTTAGGGCCATCCATCATTCCTTCAATTCTGACCAGTTTCCCAGTCCCTGCCGATTAAAAACATCCCCACAGCATGATGCTGCCACCACCATGCTTCACTGTGGGGATGGTGTTCTCGGAGTGATGAGGTGTTGGGTTTGCGCCAGACAGCGTTTTCCTTGATGGCCAAAAAGCTCAATTGTAGTCTCATCTGACCAGAGTACCTTCTTCCATATGTTTGGGGTGTCTCCCATATGCCTCTTGGCAAACACCAAATGTGTTTGCTTATTTTTTTTACTCCAATCCCCACTGTGGAGCTTTGCAGCTCCTTCAGGGTTATTGTTAGTCTCTTTGTTGCCTCTCTGATTAATGCCCTACTTGCCTGGTCTGTGAGTTTTGGTGGGCGGCCCGCTCTTGGCAGGTTTGTTGTGGTGCCATATTCTTTCCATTTTTTAATAATGGATTTAAAAATGGTGCTCAGTGTGATGTTCAAAGTTCCTGATATTTTTTTATAACCCAACTCTGATCTGTACTTCTCCACAACTTTGTCACTGACCTGTTTGGAGAGCTCCTTGGTCTTCATGGTGCAGACTCTGGGGCCTTTCAGAACAGGTGTATATATACTGAGATTATGTGACACTTAAAGTTCACCCGTGTGCAATCTAACTAATTATGTGACTTCTGAAGGTAATTGGTTGCATCAGATTTTATTTAGGTTCTTCATAGCAAAGGGGGTGCATACAAAGTTGTCCTCTGTAGCTTAATTGGTAGAGCATGGCGCTTGTAACGCCAGGGTAGTGGGTTCGATCCCCGGGACCACCCATACGTAAAGATGTATGCGCACATGACTGTAAGTGGCTTTGGATAAATGCGTCTGCTAAATGGCATATTATTATTATTATTATTATTATATTACATATGCACGCGCCACTTTTCCGTTATTTATTTTTTTTAATTTTCTGAAACAAGTTATTTTTTTCATTTCACTTCACCAATTTTGACTATTTTGTGTATGTCGATTACATTAAATCCAAATAAAAATCCATTTAAATTACAGGTTGTAATGCAACAAACTAGGAAAAACGCCAAGGGGGATGAATACTTTTGCAAGGCACTGTATCAACAAATGGGAAAGGGAAATGTGATACCTTTGTGATTTGAATTCTTTCATTATGTCAAGAAATTTGTTGTATATTCCAGGGTCATTCCCAAATCGAATTTTCACTTGGTCCAGGTATGATAGGGCATCTTCAACCTGAAGGTAAAGATAATGGTGTGAAACCAAATGAAAACATTTAGAGCATATAAAAATGTATATTTTTATTTCCATACGATGCTAGAAATGAAGGGGTCCAGGTTAAAGACAGATCATCAACAAGGATGCTAGTGTATGTGTGTGTGATTTTATCACTGTTATTACACATTCACAAACGGGCAAATTAGTTATGTTGCTCTTCAATTAAGTCATTAGCTGAATAACTTATGGCATGATGTCTTGAACTCATTTAGCTATCCATCCAACTACCTACCACTATTATTTGTAGTTACACTGCAAACAATAAGCAGTTAACTAGGCTGAGCAAGAGATGGAAAAAGAAAATTGGCTGTGTTTGCTATAATCAGAACACCTTGGGTGCATTGTAGTTCAAATCTGGCCAAGTAAGAAAACGTAGATAAACTGTATGGTTAACGTTAGCTAGCTAACAAAAACGATGGTTATGTGTGGCATATTTTCATCGATTGAAAATAAGCAATACGAATAAACAATACAATAGCTAATGTTAGCATGGCGTATTGAGAAAACCCTATTCATAACCTAGCTGGCAAGTAAACCAACGTGTAACGTTACTGTATGTTGGCTAGTTAGTTGTCGGATTACAAACTACCTAGCAATAGTGTGTATTTAAAGACAGGTCTCCCATTTTGTGCCAACAAACACCATCCCATTCTAGACAACGCAAATTTGACTTTTTTCTGGCAGTGCGGGCAGAAAATGTGAACAAGGAACTTCAGATGCCCAAAGTTATCCGACAATGGAAAGTAGCTAGCTAACCAGCCAAAGCAACTAGTTAGATATGTTCTAGTCTGTGGTGTATCTGGATGACCCAATGAATGATTTTTCAAATCGTGTCTAACGCAATAGAATAATCCAAGTTATCTGGCGTTAGTTAACCTACACTAAAGTACTGTTCATACAACATTCCATTCAGAACCCCTTATGATTAGCTATCTAGCTAACGTTAACTCCTTAGCATGAAGATAAATACAATATCTGACGAACACAAAATGGTTCTGAGTAAGACTTTTCCCTTTTTGGTTACCGTCTCTTACCTTCAGTTTTTGAAAGTGCTGTTGTTGCACTTGCTTTTGTACAACATAGGCCTTGTCTTGAATTTGGTTTATTTGCTTCGTGTTGCTGTGTGCCTGAATTTTTGCCATGATCCCGGAGATAGTAGCAGGCATATAGGTACTACTACTTGGTTGATTATACGCTTTGGTATCTGGTTGTTGGCTAGCCGACAAAAATCTTGCTCTTCGTCGGGAAGCTAGCTAGCTAGCAACGCTTAGTTGGCTAGCTAGCTAGTAAGAGATCTTAGCCAGCAAGCAAAATAAGGAAAATCCAGCCAAGTAACTGTGATGGGAATAAGCTACGACTCGATGCTACTTTGATTAAACGCCATTATCGGTCCAACGAGTAACTACTGCTGGTACGCGATATCAGAGTGAAGCTTCGGAAAACAAGCTTTGAGACAATGGTTGCTGATTATGATATTTAAAAAAAACTATTGCCTGTCTCTTTAAATTCGGCGGCAGCTGTGCAGCCAGTCTTGGCGTCCGAAGCAGAGACGGAAGAAGAAGCGAGACACCCCACTCCCTCATTTTTTTCTGGTTACATTATAGTCATGGAACTAAGCTGAGCAGACACAGCTGCTATTGCATTATTGTCTATGGGAGAACCACCCCGTTAAGCAGACCGGAACGGACAATTTTGATCAACGGCAAACGGCCTGAGTAAATTATCTGTATTTATCCACCATCTTTGTCCGGAAGCATAGTCGATCAGAGAAATTCCAATGCGCAGACGCATGGAGAAAGGGGTGGAGCTTCACGAGCAAACTAGGGATTTTTCTCCATCCTCCTTCACTCACTACAACAGTACAGTCCTTGTTCAATTTTCACACCCAGACTAGATTACACCTTTTTACAGAAGTGTATCCACGTTGCACGCAGAATTTGAATATTTTTACTAATGTTAAAGCGTCCAGTGTGTGAGCACAACATTTGACGGCCTGCCTCTCACAAACACAGGATCAACCGGGAGGGAAAGTACAGGGCGTGCCATAAAATGTGTCAAACAATGCGCATCACACAGAAGACCATTTCATGTCAAGACCAAGACCTGAATATAGCTAGTGGCCTTCTACAATAATACACACTGGATATTTGTATTATAAACTTTATTTGTAAATGTATGAAAAATGTATGCACTCACTAACTGTAAGTCGCTCTGGATAAGAGCGTCTGCTAAATGACTAAAATGTAAATGCAGTCCTACTTGGCCTAGCACATTCATACTCTACTGTATATATTGTGTACATATCAGATATGCATACTCTTCTGTTACGTGTTATTTTTTATTTTACTCTTTGATTATTGTACTGTAAAGTTGAGAGCTAGCATACAAGCATTTCGCTGCACTTTTTATAACTGCTGTGTGTACCTGACGAATACACATTTATTTGTGATTTATTCATACAATTCCAACCATGCAGACTGAGCAAAACCATACCATGAACAAAGTGGTCCTATTTATGGAATAACATGTTCATATTTATTTCAACAACCTATTCCACTATTTACAAAAAAAAAACATACTTTTGTGTATGTATTGATGATATGGATAATTACTAATGTAACGGTCTTGGTCAAATAGGATTACATTTGTGATTGAGGTTAACTGTCAAACTCATTAAGGAAAATATCAAGTGCAGGCAAAGTTGATTTAATGGCATAAAGACAACAGCAATTTACTTGTGATATACACTACATGCCAAAAGTATGTGGACACCTGCTTGTCGAACATCTCATTCCAAAATTATAGCCATTAATATGGAGTTGGTCCTCCCTTTCTTCTATAAACAGCCTCCACTCTTCTGGGAAGGCTTTCCACTAGATGTTGGAACATTGCTGCGGGGACTTGCTTCCATTCAGGCTCAACAGTATCAGTTAGGCCTGGCTCGCAGTCAGCGTTCCAATTCATCCCAAAGGTGTTCCATGGAGTTGAGGTCAGGGCTCTGTACAGGCCAGTCAAGTTCTTCCACACCGAACTCAACAAACAATTTCAGTACGGACCTCGCTTTGTGCACGGGGGCATTGTCATGTGAAACAGGAAAGGGCCTTCCCCAAACGGTTGCCACAAAGATCAGCACAGAATCGTCTAGAATGTCATTGTATGCTGTAGCGTTAAGATTTCCCTTCACTGGAACTATGGGGCCTAGCCCGAACCATGAAAAACAGCCCCAGACCATTATTCCTCCTCCACCAAACTTTACAGTTGGCACTATGCATTCAGGCAGGTAGCGTTCTCCTGGCTTCCGCCAAACCCAGATTCATCCGTCGGACTGCCAGATGTTGAAGCGTGATTCATCACTCCAGAGAACGCGTTTCCACTGTTCCAGAGTCCAATGGTGGTGAGCTTTACACCACTCCAGCCAACGCTTGGCATTGCGCATGGTGATCTTAGATTTGTGTGCGGCTGCTCGGCCATGGAAACCCATTTCATGAAGCTCCTGACGAACAGTTCTTGTGCCGACATTGCTTTCAGAAGCAGTTTTGAACTCGGTAGTGAGTGTTGCAACCGAGTGCAGACGATTTTTACGCGCTACGCGCTTCAGCACTCGGCGAGCCTGTGTGGCCTACCACTTTGCGGTTGAGCTGTCGTTGCTCCTAGATGTTTCCACTTCACAATAACAGCACTTAGTTGACCGGGGCAGAAGCAGGGCAGAAATGTAACAAACTGACTTGTTGGAAAGGTGGCATCCTATGACGGTGCCACGTTGAAAGTCACTGAGCTCTTCAGTAAGGCCATTCTACTGTTTGTCTATGGAGATTGCATGGCTGTGTGCTCGATTTTATACACAATGCAGTGTACATTGAAAGACATGTTTTGCAAAAAGAGATGCAAAACAATATTGTAAATTGTAGTTTTAGAAGAGCATTGTTGTCCATCTAAAATGGACCTTGGTTCAGATCGATGCACTTGTCTTTATTTTCCATGGATCTCATTAAGAAGCCTTGGCTGCAAATTTCCACCTCTGTAGCCACTGCTGAAAAGTCAGTCCCCCCTTGCATATGTCAGGCAGAGCAAACTGAGCAGGCTGATCCCACCTGCACAGACAGAAAAAAATGAATTGTCAATAGTCTAGCTGGTGAATAATATTGAGTTTTAATACAAGTAAGGGAGCTCTATGTGAGAAAGAGTTGATGGTAGCACTTACCAATAGGAAATGGCAGTCTTAACCTGATTCCCATAAGAAAGGCCCTGTGAGCAGCACTGGTTGAGCTCCCGAACCCTGGGTAACAAAGACTGAAGCAGCTTCTTGTCTTCCTCCCGGACACATAGCAGGAGGGCTAAGGAGAAATAAAGAAAAGGGAGATTAAAGAGAGACGAAGATATCAGTCAGACATGTAAAATGGAATAATCTGCCATTTGTTAGTTTGCAGCTTTGAACTCTATTGAAGACCTGTACCTTGTTGGTCAGGTGCAGGTAGCAGCGCTCCTTGCTTCTCTACATTTGCTAAAGAGGAGGAGTGCAATTGCAGCAAACGACGCAGAAAGCGAAGCTCCAAATGCTGGGATAAAGCTTGGGTGTACAGTTCCTCAGGGGCCTGGCAGAGAAACATAGAGGGATAGAATAGAGAAAACATAAATAAACAACGGGATAAGAGCAAAGAGCGAACCTCTCTAGGTGCATAAATGGTCATGGAATAATCTGTTAGGACTCACCCTGTACATTGGGAAAGCCAGGCTTTGACACAGATTGCGGAAGGGCGAGGAATGCAAGCGATGGATAGACAACCACGCAGCTGGAATTCTCTGCTCGCTGAAATATATAGCAGTTGACAGAACGTAACCATCTGAAAAATGTCCCTTTAAGCATTTTTTTCTCAGCCAGACCAATTCATGATCAGAAGGAGAACTCAACTCACCCATCAAACAACAACAAATAGGAAGCGCTTACCCTTCAATGATCCTGCGATCAAGTGTTACTAGTGACACATTTCCAAACTGTCTGGCCTCCTGGGACACAGAGTTGCGAAGCCCATTGGCTGCTGAAAGAACTTCAAACAACTGGGGAGTCAGTTTTCCCTGGACAAACTGTCCAATCTGGGGTCGGACAAGAGAAAGGAACAGGTTGAGTTAGATGGCCACTGTTTACACAGTCTGCATTTAGAGGGCCTACCTTCTTGTGCACGCGAGTCAGTTCAGTCTTAGCTGTCGAGTTCCCCTTGATCAGACCTCTTGTCTGTTCCTGCCTGACGTCCTATAAAGAAAAACATGACAAAAGTGTGTCACACTTATTTAGGTTAACATGTGGCAAGTGGTGAAATGCTGTGGTGTTGTGTGTGGAAGACAAAGGTAGAAATACAGACTGCAAAAAAACGTTACATTTCCTCACCACAAGCTGTCTGAAGTCCATGATGCTCTGCCATTGGCTCCGAAGGTTGCGCAGGGCCTCCTGTCTGTCCCTGGCATGTTGCTCCATTTGAACACACTGGTCCTGCACAACATCTCGCACGGCTGTCTGCATCACACACTGCATCTCCAGCTCAAACACTGACCTGGGCAGGAGGGAGAAATGGGAGAAAATAGGTTTCAAACTGGGAAAGAGTAGAGCATCGCAAATACAATAGATATATATACATTATTTATTGACTAATTTATACAAAAGTATTTTGATGAATTGACATGACTTCTTTAGAGGCTGAGCATGTTCATTAATGACAAAATGTAAATGTTGTGGAAAAAGCCAATCTGTAGTGAAGACTTACCGTGCCAGAGTTTGGGTTTGAGATTCCACGCAAAGCAGCTCCAACTCTGCCTCTTTCTTTCGGGCATGAAGCTGGGTCTTGAGCTGTTGAATTTGTGAACGCGTCTGAGCCAGTTCCATCAGACTCTGTTCCACCTCCTGCCAGGCTGACTGCAAAAAGATCAGACACAGATATCAACTACAGCAACAGTGAACTACTGTTCAAGCCTATGCAGTGTCTTTACCCCATGTTGGTATTTAAGTGTAAACTGAAACATGTGTAAAGCACCTGTAAAAGACTCTTAACGGGTGGTAGCTCTTCCTCTTCTTTCCAGATGTCCAGTAGGTGATTACTTTCGTAGTGAAACCTAAAACAAAACAGATACATTTGCCCCTATAATTCCAATCCATGCAGATTTTTGTCCAGCTACATTTTGTATACATTTTACCAATTTACCGTAATGCAGCAACATCACGAGCCACATCCAATGAGGCAAGCTTCTCCTCCAATGTAATTTCTTGTCCCAAGGCCAGGTACTGCAAGGCTGACAGCACTTGGTTTGGAGGATAGCATCGCAACAAGTCCTGATGAGATAAAACGGATAATAATACCATTCTCACTCTACTGAAGAAAATATGAAACAGACCATGATGTAACCAACTAGATGCAAACAACAATGCAACTTACCTCTACAGCACTTAACCAATGCTGAAATACTGCAGTTCTCTGTTCACGAGTCAAGCTGAAGAGACGGAGAGAGTCAATGATGATTTAGCAGTAGAAGAATCACATGGATGACTCCGGTTCCTATATAAAACCATCTGATAATTCTTACTGTGTGGCAGTGGACGACTCAATTTTCAGCTCACTCTCTTGTAAAGACTGGAAGAAGAGGAGTCTTTCATCACACAGCTCTCTCACGTTACGCTAAGGAGGAAGAGAAACAAGATTTGTTCAATACAAAACCATCACAGATTATAAATCTCATATAAAGCATCAACTAAAAAAATGTAGTAAAAGCATTTACCAGAACCTGAGGCTCTGCTCCTGTTGGGTTGAGATAGTCCCCACTGCTATTGGAGGTTTCATTTCCAAACACCACCTCCACCTCTGCCTTCCTGCAAAACACACCAAAAGTAAAGAATGGATTTGGGCTGGGCTTGCGGCATTAAAATGTATGTGGACATGTGTTAAGAAATGGTAGGGGTAAACAGCAGAGGCTCTAGCAAGCACACCTAGACAGCTGCTCCAGAGCCTGGGAGTGCCCACTGATCTTGCGGGTATCCTCTGAGAGAGAGTGGCGCGCCTTCATGCAGCGCTGCTTAAAAGCCTGTAAAATCAGCTCCCTGCGTTGGTTCTCCTCCACCATTCCCCAGCTCCGGTTAATGGACTCTTCTACTCAATACAAAGAGTTGTCACAGCACAACATGTCACGGCGAAAGGGGACATCAACATATCAGCATATACAGACTTAGCACAATTTTGGTTGTGGTATGTGGGAAAAAATTGTTATACAGTGGGGTCCAAAATTATTGACACCCTTGATAAAGATGGACAAAAATGACTGTATAAAATAATTCAAATAGGCTCAATGCCGTTATCCTCACATGGTGAGGTATTGAAACATTTTGAAAACAGGGGTGTCAATAATTTTGACCCCTACGTTTTGAGGAAAAAAATATTACTTGTTACAAAATCTTTCTTTGAGCAATTGTATTAGTATAAAATCATATAATTTCCCAATTTTTTGGAGCATACAATATAGCTCAGTATTTGAATTTTTATTTTTTACTGTAATCTTTGCTCATTTCAGACCCCACTGTAGGCCTATTTGGTAAAAAGCTCACCTTCAGTAGCTAGCTGTGCTTCAGTCCCATTGATTTGAGAGTCCAGGTGGTTAAGTTCTGCTCTCAGCTCCTCTATCTGCTCCTGAAGATCAAGCCGCTTAGCAGCATCACTCTGCCCCGCTACCTTTTTTAACTGCACACGAATGAATACAATGTAATGTAAAAGAATGTTCATAGAAAACATAATGCTAACTCTGACACGGTCTTAAAATCGTGATACTGTAGCTATATCAAATTATCTACAGATTTGTTTAGAAATATGGGTGTACCTCCTTATCTTGTAGAACTTTGTACCTGAAAGATCACAATGTCAAGGAAAGGCTTTTTTCACTTTAAAATGTATGCCAAACAAAAACCATTGATTTCAAAGTTTAACAAACCATACAACTCTATGCACAAGGACTACTTTTAACAATTTCAACAGAAAACTGTACACAAAATTATTTAGTGACAGAACTGTAAAGATGCAAACTTTGGTAATGGAATTACGGTAAAATCTTCCTCAGGTTGTTGTGACCACTTTTTCCAAAAACTCTGCAGAAAGAGTGGGGTGTCAGCTATGACATGGTACCTTGAGTTTGAAAAAATCTATTTTGGTTATTGAACTACAGTAAGTGAAGTGGATTTACACCCGGTAACAGAATTACGGTAATGGAATTGAATTATGAGTCCCTGATCTGTCCTACACAGAAATGCATAATTATGGATATGAATGTCATTTTCCTCATGTTTCACAAGTTTGGACAGTGCAGCAGAGCACAACAGAGCACAGTAGAGTACAGTGCAGTAATATACTGTATTATACTCTACTGTATTGGAGTGTACTCTACTGTGCTCTACTCACTGTACTATCAAAACGTATGAAACATACGTCTATGATAGGTTCAGATTTGGTCCAGTCCGTCTGTGGACGCTAACATCAAGGCCAGGGTGGACTGACCAAATTTCAACTACTTTTCAACGTCCATGGACATCCAGTGTCAGTCAGTGCTCAGTGGGTGAGGATGCTGGTTACAGTAAATGGAAAGAGAGGAGGCTTATGGGTAGGTGTCAGTAAGAGCTGGGAGAGGTAACATTAACTGGTGAGTGAGAGAGAAAGGCAGAGAAAAGTTATCCAGACTTCGTTTGAACGCCAGACAACAGAAAGAAAAGTTATCAGCTGAACATAACAGTATGCCAGTGGAAGGGAGGACAGTAGCAGGTGACCCATCTGTGGTTTGTGACTATTATGATTTCCCATTGTAGCCAATTCAGTTGCATTAATTCCATTACTGATTATTGCGTAATTCCATTACCAATGGAAGTATGAGTTTTAATCACTTAATAATTCATAAAGAAATGTGATATCAGCAAAATCACTATAACTAATTGGTAGGTCAACCATTACTTGTTACTTCTGTGAACTTTTGTTATCCTCCCTCCTCATGAGTGGGAGTAATTAGAAAATATGAAGTGTGGGTTTTTGGTAACAGAATTACAAGGCACAAGGCAATATTTCTTAAACTTACAGAAGGTAAACCATTTCTCCTAAACTAAATATAAGTGTTGATATTAGTTGGCAGGGGTCTTTACGTCAACATTATTGTGTTTGATGTATTTCTGATACCTTTTGAGTCTATTTCTGGTAGATGTTTTGTAAGACCCATTTTCCATGTTTATCAAGAAATCAAAGTCTTTGCTTATGCCTAATTTTTAAGTTGGAAAAATGGTTGATAAACCCATCTATGCCTCCATTTCCGCAAAATATAGACTCAGCTTTCATTTGACACCCAATTTGATATGCTCCTATGAACTTCACATGTTAGCGCTCATGGGTCCTTTTCGATGGAAATGCCCTTGTACAACTGTCCATTGAACGAAACCTGTGAGTGTCATATTGGTGTCAGATACATTAGGCCGTTATCCTGACAATAGAGTTGGTTTCATCTCAGAGACAATGAAATGACCCCAGTTGTACATAGCTCAAGAGAACAAAAACAAAGGATACCACTGGAGATTTCCACGCATAACCCTGACATTCCTGCAAAAGAAACGAAAAGCAAACGTATCATGACAAAAATACAAAGTAATCGTTGACCAAGCTACTACAAATAATTGATTTAAAAACTAGGAAGTATACCCCCAAACAAAATCCGTTATAAAAACCTGTCTGCATACCCACCTCTGATTGAAAATATGTTGTGTGACATATCTCCATATGGAGGCACCTGGGCCAACACATAACCTGAATCAAAACAAACAACAATATACTTGTGTTAACTCACTGGTGGGCCACATTAGTTAACTTAGTCTGCCAAGGTCGATACGCAAAACTGTAGCTGTGAACTACCTAACGTTAGCTAGCTATTAGCCGACCAAACTACACTCCACCACGGTAGTGTGGGCGGGCTGGAGCACCGACGTCACATTCAATTACGTTTTTGTTTTTTTAACTACTGATTTCAGTACCCAAAGAATAGGACGCAATTGCGCAGAACATTCGTAAATCGTAGAGTGGAGTTTAATCGGCTAGCCAACTATATGAATTGTTACCAACAACATAAATCATGAAGAGGAATACTCAACAAGGCCAAAACAAAGTTGCATAGGACATGTATGTATGACGTCGTTACCCACGTTTTAATGTAGTTGTCGTTTGGGAGACTTTGGGGTGGTAGATTAAATTCTTCAGTCGCCCACCGCTTCAGTTCCCGCAGGAGGGTCCTGTCCCCCATCCTTACCTTAGCCGAAACCAGAGAGGCGTTATCCAGCTAGCGTCAGAAGGGTATTTATTTATTATAAATCAAATGGCTCTGGCTGCCTGTAGCTGTATCTACAAGAAAGCTAGCCAAAAACGAATACTATCACGTACATGTTAGCTTGCCAGGTGCCTGTAATAAATAGTAAACGGGCGAAGTAGTTTGTTTTTCAAGATATGACTGTCAGAAAGATCATAAGAAAAGTTAGACGTCTTTGCTCAGTTCGTCGTTTGTTATGATTTTCCCAGAATATTTTTCTGCCCGTACAACTAACTAGTGGTTCAACTTCCCGCTCGCTCTGCAGCATATCCGGTGACGTTTGCTATCGTTTCCGAAATAGGACAAATAGAACGTGCAACGATCTACAACAGAACTTTCAACGCAAAGGGGACACAGCCTACATCCACACCACTTCCTTATATAAAAAGGAAACCTTATACTCAGTGCCATATATTTAGATAAATCTGCTTATACCATTCCGTATGAATATATACATATTTTATATACATACATATAAATATATATATAAAATATATACATACATATATATTTTTCCAGTATTATGGCAAATAATAACCAAGACCTATATAGGCCAAAACCAGATGTTTTGGGCTAATTGATCATTAGAAAACCCTTTAGCAATTATCTTAGCACAGCTGAAAACTGTTGTGCTGATTAAAGAAGCAATAAAACTGGCCTCCTTGAGACTAGTTGAGTATCTGGAGCATCAGCAATTGTGGGCTTGATTACAGGCTCAAAATGGCCAGAAACAAATAACTTTCTTCTGAAACTCGTCAGTCTATTCTTGTTCTGAGAAATGAAGGCTATTCCATGCGAGAAACTGCCAAGAAACTGAAGATCTCGTACAACGCTGTGTACTACTCCCTTCACAGAACAGAATAGAAAGAGTGGGAGGCCCCGGTGCACAACTGAGCAAGAGGACAAATACATTAGAGTGTCTAGTTTGAGAAACAGACGCCTCACAGGTCCTCAACTGGCAGCTTCATTAAATAGTACCCGCAAAACACCAGTCTCAACGTCAACAGTGAAGAGGCGACTCCGGGATGCTGACCTTCTAGAAAGAGTTGCAAAGAAAAAGCCATATCTCAGACTGGCCAATAAAAAGAAAAGATTAAGATGGGCAAAAGAACACAGACACTGGACAGAGGAAGATTTGGAAAAAAGTGTTATGGACAGACAAATCGAAGTTTGAGGTGTTCGGATCACAAAGAAGAACATTTGTGAGACGCAGACCAAATGAAAAGATGCTGGAGGAGTGCTTGATGCCATCTGTCAAGCATGGTGGAGGCAATGTGATGGTCTGGGGTTGCTTTGGTGATGGTAAACTGGGAGATTTGTACAGGGTAAAAGGGATCTTGAAGAAGGAAGGCTATCACTCCATTTTGCAATGCCATGCCATACCCTGTGGACGGCGCTTGATTGGAGCCAATCTCCTCCTACAACAGGACAATGACCCAAAGCACAGCTCCAAACTATGCAATAACTATTTAGGGAAGAAGCAGTCAGCTGGTATTCTGTCTATAATGGAGTGGCCAGCACAGTCACCGGATCTCAACCCTATTGAGCTCTTGTGGGAGCAGCTTGACCGTATGGTACGTAAGAAGTGCCCATCAAGCCAATCCAACTTGTGGGAGGTGCTTCAGGAAGCATGGGGTGAAATCTCTTCAGATTACCTCAACAAATTGACAACTAGAATGGCAATGGTCTGCAAGGCTGTAATTGCTGCAAATGGAGGATTCTTTGACGAAAGCAAAGTTTGAAGGACACAATTATTATTTCAATTACAAATCATTATTTCTAGCTTCGTCAATTACTAAATTTCCTATGCATTTTGCTATATTTCCTATTCAAACTCATTTAATGTACAGTGGGGAGAACAAGTATTTGATACACTGCCGATTTTGCAGGTTTTCCTACTTACAAAGCATGTAGAGGTCTGTAATTTTTATCATAGGTACACTTCAACTGTGAGAGACGGAATCTAAAATCACATTGTATGATTTTTAAGTAATTAATTTGCATTTTATTGCATGACATAAGTATTTGATCACCTACCAACCAGTAAGAATTCCGTCTCTCACAGACCTGTTAGTTTTTCTTTAAGAAGCCCTCCTGTTCTCCACTCATTACCTGTATTAACTGCACCTGTTTGAACTCGTTACCTGTATAAAAGACACCTGTCCACACACTCAATCAAACAGACTCCAACCTCTCCACAATGGCCAAGACCAGAGAGCTGTGTAAGGACATCAGGGATAAAATTGTAGACCTGCACAAGGCTGGGATGGGCTACAGGACAATAGGCAAGCAGCTTGGTGAGAAGGCAACAACTGTTGGCGCAATTATTAGAAAATGGAAGAAGTTAAAGATGACGGTCAATCACCCTCGGTCTGGGGCTCCATGCAAGATCTCACCTCGTGGGGCATCAATGATCATGAGGAAGGTGAGGGATCAGCCCAGAACTACACGGCAGGACCTGGTCAATGACCTGAAGAGAGCTGGGACCACAGTCTCAAAGATAACCATTAGTAACACACTACGCCGTCATTGATTAAAATCCTGCAGTGCACGCAAGGTCCCCCTGCTCAAGCCAGCGAATGTCCAGGCCCGTCTGAAGTTTGCCAATGACCATCTGGATGATCCAGAGGAGGAATGGGAGAAGGTCATGTGGTCTGATGAGACAAAAATAGAGCTTTTTGGTCTAAACTCCACTCGCCGTGTTTGGAGGAAGAAGAAGGATGAGTACAACCCCAAGAACACCATCCCAACCGTGAAGCATGGAGGTGGAAACATCATTATTTGGGGATGCTTTTCTGCAAAGGGGGCAGGACGACTGCACCGTATTGAGGGAAGGATGGATGGGGCCATGTATCGCGAGATCTTGGCCAACAACCTGGGTCTTCCAGCATGACAACGACCCGAAACACACAGCCAGGGCAACTAAGGAGTGGCTCCGTAAGAAGCATCTCAAGGTCCTGGAGTGGCCTAGCCAGTCTCCAGACCTGAACCCAATAGAAAATCTTTGGAGGGAGCTGAAAGTCTGTATTGCCCAGCGACAACCCCGAAACCTGAAGGATCTGGAGAAGGTCTGTATGGAGGAGTGGGCCAAAATCCCTGCTTCAGTGTGTGCAAACCTGGTCAAGACCTACAGGAAACATATGATCTCTGTAATTGCAAACAAAGGTTTCTGTACCAAATATTAAGTTCTGCTTTTCTGATGTATCAAATACTTATGTCATGCAATAAAATGCAAATTAATTACTTAAAAATCATACAATGTGATTTTCTGGATTTTTGTTTTAGATTCCGTCTCTCACAGTTGAAGTGTACCTATGATAAAAATTACAGACCTCTACATGCTTTGTAAGTAGGAAAACCTGCAAAATCGGCAGTGTATTAAATACTTGTTCTCCCCACTGTATGTTTTCATGGAAAACAAGGAAATGTCTAAGTGACCCCAAACTTTTGAACGGTAGTGTGTGTGTGTATGTATGTACAGTGAGGGAAAAAAGTATTTGATCCCCTGCTGATTTTGTACGTTTGCCCACTGAAAAAGAAATGATCAGTCTATAATTTTAATGGTAGGTTTATTTGAACAGTGAGAGACAGAATAACAACAAAAAAATCCAGAAAAACGCATGTCAAAAATGTTATAAATTGATTTGCATTTTAATGAGGGAAATAAGTATTTGACCCCCTCTCAATCAGAAAGATTTCTGGCTCCCAGGTGTCTTTTATACAGGTAACGAGCTGAGATTAGGAGCACACTCAAGTGTTCTCGTTACCTGTAGCTCGTTACCTGTATAAAAGACACCTGTCCACAGAAGCAATCAATCAATCAGATTCCAAACTCTCCACCATGGCCAAGACCAAAGAGCTCTCCAAGGATGTCAGGGACAAGATTGTAGACCTACACAAGGCTGGAATGGGCTACAAGACCATCGCCAAGCAGCTTGGTGAGAAGGTGACAACAGTTGGTGCGATTATTCGCAAATGGAAGAAACACAAAAGAACTGTCAATCTCCCTCGGCCTGGGGCTCCATGCAAGATCTCACCTCGTTGAGTTGCAATGATCATGAGAACGGTGAGGAATCAGCCCAGAACTACACGGGAGGATCTTGTCAATGATCTCAAGGCAGCTGGGACCATAGTCACCAAGAAAACAATTGGTAACACACTATGCCGTGAAGGACTGAAATTCTGCAGCGCCCGCAAGGTCCCCCTGCTCAAGAAAGCACATATACATGCCCGTCTGAAGTTTGCCAATGAACATCTGAATGATTCAGAGGAGAACTGGGTGAAAGTGTTGTGGTCAGATGAGACCAAAATCGAGCACTTTGGCATCAACTCAACTCGCCGTGTTTGGAGGAGGAGGAATGCTGCCTATGACCCCAAGAACACCATACCCACCGTCAAACATGGAGGTGGAAACATTATGCTTTGAGGGTGTTTTTCTGCTAAGGGGACAGGACAACTTCCCCGCATCAAAGGGACGATGGACGGGGCCATGTACCGTCAAATCTTGGGTGAGAACCTCCTTCCTCAGCCAGGGCATTGAAAATGGGTCGTGGATGGGTATTCCAGCATGACAATGACCCAAAACACACGGCCAAGGCAACAAAGGAGTGGCTCAAGAAGAAGCACATTAAGGTCCTGGAGTGGCCTAGCTAGTCTCCAGACCTTAATCACATAGAAAATCTGTGGAGGGAGCTGAAGGTTCGAGTTGCCAAACGTCAGCCTCGAAACCTTAATGACTTGGAGAAGATCTGCAAAGAGGAGTGGGACAAAATCCCTCCTGAGATGTGTGCAAACCTGGTGGCCAACTACAAGAAACGTCTGACCTCTGTGAATGCCAACAAGGGTTTTGCCACCAAGTACTAAGTCATGTTTTGCAGAGGGGACAAATACTTATTTCCCTCATTAAAATGCAAATCAATTCATAACATTTTTGACATGTGTTTTTCTGTATTTTGTTGTTGTTATTCTATCTCTCACTGTTCAAATAAACCTAATATAAAAATTATAGACTGATCATGTCTTTGTCAGTGGGCAAACGTACAAAATCAGCAGGGGATCAAATACTTTTTTCCCTCACTGTATGTATGAATGTATGTGTGTGTATATATATATATATATATATATATATATATATATAATTAGTTGAAATCGGAAGTTTACATACACTTAGGTTGGAGTCATTAAAACTTGTTTTTCAACCACTCCACAAATTTCTTGTTAACAAACTATAGTTTTGGCAAGTCGGTTAGGAC